GTCACTTCCTTGTCACCGACGGGTCGCGGCGGATTAATTCAGCAGGGGGCAGGCAGGAGACGAGGACAGGAGCAGGGACAGGGCACGGGCGGGGCACTGGCGGGAGGAGCAGGGACAGGAGCAGAGACAGAGGGCACGGGCGGGAGGAGAAGGGACAGAGGGCACGGGCGGGGCATTGTCGGGACAGGGACAGGAGCAGAAATGGGGCATGGGCGGAGCATTTTCGGGACAGGCAGAGACAGAGGGCACTGGCGGGACACTGGCGGGAGGAGCAGGGACAGGAGCAGAGACAGAGGGCACTGGCGGGACACTGGCGGGAGGAGCAGGCTCAGAGGGAGAGGAGGAGGCGGAGTGTTTTGAGGTAGCCATCGACCACCGTACTCGTAGGTCAGAACCCGAGCGGTGGGAGTCTGGTCTGAACCGCTCACAACTCAACCGATTCATAGGCTTGTCGGTTGTCCGGGGCTGAACTGGTCCGCCGCATGAGCTGAACTGATGCGTTTGCTGTAACCACTCGTCATTCATATTGCGCTGCTGCTTTTGTTGCTCGCTCTTACTGCTTTTGTTCGTTTTAGTCCAGATAAGCTAGTTTGTTTTGCAACGCACGCCTCAGACAGTTTAAATGTCTCGACGCATCGCTATCACTAAGAGGTCGAGTGCAGCCTGTCGCTTCGTTCCGTGTATGTACTAAGCAGGAGGGATCAGAGCAGAGCTGACCACTGACCAGGACTAGATGTCTGGTGACATGGTTTACCATCTGGTGGTCGGGTCAGCCGTCTGGTGACATGGTCAGACGTCTGGTGGCCGGGTCAGACGTCTGGTGGCCGGGTCAGACGTCTGGTGACATGGTCAGACGTCTGGTGGACGTGCGAGGGGTTGGTGGACGGGTCAGCCGTCTGGTGGACGGGTCAGACGGGTCAGACGTCTGGTGACCGGGTCAGACGTCTGGTGGCCGGGATAGCCGTCTGGTATTTGGGACAGCCGTATGGTGTTCACTGTTCAGGTCGGCCGTCTGGTGGCCGGGTCGATGGTCTGCTGGTGGTGGCTGGGTCCGCCGTCTGGTGGCCGGGTCAGGGATCTGGTGGCCGGGTCTATGTATGGTCTGTTGGTGGCCGGGTCTATGGTCTGGTGGTACCGGGTCCGCCGTCTGGTGGCCGGGTCTATGGTCTGCTGGTGGCCGGGTCCGCCGTCTGGTGGCCGGGTCCGACGGCAGTGAAGGGTGATCTCGGACAGCCCCGTCTCCTGCCAGCCGTCCTGCGGTGCGGTCGCACGGCTCGGTGGTCGGCACTTATTCCGGGAACCTCCGGCTCTGGGAGTGGGGAGTGGGGACGGCCGGCGGGCTGTGTGTGTGCGTGTGTCGGCGGGGTTGGAAGGGAAGCCTCGCTATGGCCGACGACCATGGCTGCTCAGTAGCAAAGAAACTCGCCGAACCTCAATGAAAGGAAATTGAAGTTAATACAAAATAACACCTATTAAAAAGTTTGGTGTTAAGCATGCACGATATAACTTTATTTTATGTGGAAGATTGGGATCTGCGATTTAATCCTTGTGTAATTTGCGATTTAGGTAAGGTGCGTTTTAATCCACCAATCTTCGAAATGTAAGACTTAAGTCCGGATTAGTTTTGCCTGTATCATAAGTTAAGCTTTTTCATGTCTGTATATTTGTACGAGGGGGTATCGAAAAGTCCTGATCATCACATAGAAGATATAGACCGATTTTGATGATTTTTGGTTGGTATTATATTTGATTCTTAAGAACAATGCTCCCGCAAAGAGAGTCCTGAGAAGTGGTTTTATCTTATGTAGGAGAGACTTAGAAGTAAAAGAGATGAGTATTGGGCCCATTGAGGACCGAATCGTCATCCAACTAACGCATTTGAAACGGTATCACACTGACACAATACATCAAAAACGTGAAATTAGTTTATGTCGAGGAAAGCCCATCTCATGCACTTACCGAAAATGAAGAAATAATTTTCAACTTGGTTGCATGGCACTTGCAGGGGAGTCAAGAAGTGGGTGACTACCAGTGACTGACAAGGTGGTGACTGTGAAGGAAGTGGAGGACCTCATCCTTACAGATCGTCGTCTGACCTTTCAGATGATTGTGCAACAGAAAGGTCGCAATGCTGGCAGTGCCTGAAAATATTATCAGCGAAGAACTACGGACGATAAAAGAGTCAGGTCGCTTAGAAGTTCGTGTGCCTACTTTGTTCAAGAGAAAAATGCGTCTTGGCCTTTCGAAATGAAATTTTAGGTTTTTTTTAAAAAGAAAATTGAAGACATCATCGATCATTTGATGACTTGTAACGAATGCTGGGTCTATGTGTATCCTCTTGATTCCCACCAATTAGCCCATGAATGGAGAGCAACGAAACTTTTTTGGCTGAGAGCTTTGGTGCCAATAATGACCATATTGGTGACATTTCAGCCATGAAGGTCATCGCGCATGCGCAATGACATGTATACTGTGATATACAAAAATACTCAAAGCCTATAAAATATGACTGAAATGCAACCCATGAAAACTTCCATACAATCACCAAAGTGTATTTTTTCGTTTGTTTAGGGCGTAAAATGGATAATAGTATTGACACGTTTAATTATCAACACCGCTCGCCAATAACTTCCGCTTCTTCTGCCCCTTGCCCACTGCTCTTAGGTCTTTAGTTGTCATTTCCTTTGAAGATATGGAACTTGTAGCACCTGTTGCGAATCGATAAGCAGTAGAGGAAGACCTTGCAGCATTATCTGAAGCGACATATCTAAAAAAATCGCCGTACGGTGTGTTTTAGAGAGGTGCTTGCCTATGTCATTGTGCTTAGGGGTAGGATTCTAATTCATCGGGCGATTTATCAAACTTTGAGTGAGGATCTACGGTCATTGAGGTCACCAACGATTCGAAGAATGTCAACGCTCAACTACAGAGCCACTTGACGGCATAATGTTGTGTGTGAGCCACAAAAAATGGCTTTAACTAACCCAGCGACCATGTATACTACAGTATACATGACTAGTCCTAGGCACAGTCCGTTGTATACCTACTGACGTTTACATTTATCCGTCGTGCAGGATCCCGTTGGTCACTCGGGTGTACATTTATTTTTTCAGAGGCCAATTCCTCCCAATAATTGTAGTGCTACTTCTTAAGCACGTCTCAAAATTTTTCGGACCAAGGACATTAGTATACCTTATTATACATGAACTTTAATTCTTTCTGGCAAAGTTTCAAACACACAATTTTGTTTACAAAACCTGCAAGCAATGATCAACAATGAATGGTTGTGTTAGCAAAACTACAGTTCTCAATGAGTCATACTCTTTAAAAGAAATAACAGGAAAATAATTAGGAGACGTACCTCTATGCTGCGACCGCCGGGATACCGGGAAGATTAAAGCTCTGAGGCGTCAACAAATTCAACTTGAGGATATAAATTCAGCCACCAGGGTGGCGGACTATGGCATGAAGAATGCAACGCATGGCCATGAAATAGCCTAGCCATTAGTGAATTCCGTAGAGATCGACTTAAGACGATGTATACCCCAGTATACAAAAAGAACCAAGAGGGTATGATCCAGAGACAAAAAGACGATCTTAAGAAGTTTAAGCACGGCACATCTGTCCTTAAAAGACGAAGATGCAGAAGCCGATATGGAAGGTCAATGCTATCAGTGTTCTGGATCTGGCGTAGGATAGTCATTACCGACTGTCTTGATGATGGTCGGATAATGATAAGCAAGCACTACTGCACACTTTTGAAGAAGTTGCGAGATGGCCTCAAGCAGAATCGCCGCCAAAAAGCCCAAGAAAGATGTTTTATCCGCACCGACAGCGCCCCCGCCCATTCGTCCTGAGCTGCGATTGAAGAAACAACATGATGTGGACATTAAATCCTACCGCATCTAAGCAATTCACCTGACCGGGTATTAACTGACTTTTGATTGTTACGGGAGATGAAGAATCCACAGTATGGCCGGTGATTTAAGGACAGAAATGACGTCATTGATGAGGTGGAGCAGTGATTTACGGGACAGTGCGAAGGTCCTACAATGACCGCCTGATGCAGCTCAAGAAACGATGCAATAAGTTTGCGGTCGTGTGTGGTGACTTGTAAAGGAGTAATGAACATCTTGTAAAAAAATCAAATTTCTATCACATCTAATTCATGGTGATGATCAGAACTTTTCGATACCCCTTCGTATGTTGCCCCTCACATCTGGCAAAAATAAAAATATTGACTACGGGATACCTACATGCAACTCGTTAGCTGTAAACCTTTCAAAGTTTTCTATTGTAGAGCCACAGGCTTCTGCTTGTGAAGAGAAATATGTGTCAGGTTCAATCGGGCTTGTCCACTACATATCACTGGATACGTGTTTCCGAGATTCGGGAGCGTTCCTTTCGACGCTCGCGGCTCAATTTTTCCGCCCGACGTGCTGGACAGGTACAGAGTCGGACCGCATCCAATCAGTGTGATGGGATTTGTAACTCCTCTTACTCCGCTAAGCTCTACTCTATAAACAGCGGTGTGTTGTGTGATCCTGCGGCTGCGCCTCGGGACGTGGGCTTTGGACCGATCCGCTTAACGTTTGGACCTAAATACGCACGGCATTGATCTTCATAAGCCTTCTGCGAATACGACTTGCATCAAATGAAAACGCATTGGGGTTAGAGGTCACCGTGACTGAAACTATAACAAAAACCGTTTGATGGGTGCGGGAAACTTTAACACACCAACCTCCCGATTCAACCTGGCATTGTCGGATCGGATGGTATACCATCCGATTGGAGACAGAACGATATCTGTACAACGGTCCTGCTATGGTTCACAGGGGACCACCGTCTGACTAAAGTGTGGTTCACAGGGGACCACCGTCTGACTATGGTACGGTTCCCAGGGGACCACCGTCTGACTATGGCACGGTTCACAGGGGACCACCGTCTGACTATGGTACGGTTCACAGGGGACCACCGTCTGACTATGGCGTGGTTTACAGGGGATCACCGCCTGACGGCGGAGGAGATGGACAGCCAGCGGCAGCAGAGTGTCGCCTACGAGTACCTCTGCCGGCTGGAGGAGGCCAAACGGTAACTACCACCCCACTAGCACCCCACTAGCACCTCACTACCACCCCACCCCACTACCACCTCACTACCACTCCACTACCACCCCACTGCCACCCCACCCCACTAGATACAGATACAGATACAGACTTTTATTAAGGTCATCCATGGTAAGTCATGGCTATTAGGACCTCTCGTCACGGTTTTAAAAATGATACATGGATAACATCACGTGCAATCTCACAGAACATTCACTCGCACACGAACAAGTCAGTCAGGCGCTAAATCTACCAGGTGACGCTTCAGATGACGTCCAAACCGCGACGCGGGGAGTTCGATGAGGTCTCGCGGCAGACCATTGTACCGGGTCGGCCCACGGCAGGCAAAGTGGCGACGGCCCATCTCCGTCCTGGACCGGGGGACTGACAACAGTCCATCCTGCCGCGTCATGCGGTCGGCCGCCGCACTACCACCCCACCACACTACCACCCCACTACCAGCCCACCCCACTCCCGCTGTATGTGGCTACACTGTGCCAAATGGTACCTACTACCTATCACCGCACCCACTCCCGCTGTATGGGTCTACACTGTGCCAAACGGTACCTATCACCCCACCCAGCCTGTATGTGGCTACACAGTGTCGTACTGCGCTGTGGGTAGCGCGTGGCCGGACGGACGGTCTGTGACAATCTATTGATCTGTGGCTGGTCTATTAGAGTGTCCGTCCGAGAGCCGTACGACGGCTGACAGAGCCTGGGGTCGCGAACTGGTGTGGTAACCGTTACGCCCACCTGGGACGCCCGAGTCGGTACGGCACTTGCGGTGTCGTAACCGGATCGGCGGGAACCAGCAGAACGCTGTTGGACCGGCGGTGAAAGTCGGAACCGAGCACTCGCCCACCAGTGGGCGTCTGGTCGAGCAGGTCTACCCGCTAAGGCAGCCTGAGCACGAGCCAGTGGCAGGGTCCGATCAGTGACCGTGGTCCGACCAGGGTGTCAGCGCAATGGCCAGTCAGAGGCGTCTTTAAGGGCGCAGAAGCCCACCTCGGTCGACTGTGGCCGGTGCAACCTAGTCAGGTCGTTTGTGTGAATCTCCGTGTTCTTCCTTCGCCTCAGAGTAGCCGCTCTTCTCCAAATGCCCGAGCCGTTTTCTATGTGTATTTGTCTTGTAGCGAACAGCAGAGTCGAGAAACGAATTGACAATGTCGCCGAAAGCCGCGGTCACATGCTGGCCGTCCCTAGTACTACCAATATGCCCGCAGGCGCGGCGAGAGACAAGCTTAACGTATGAGTCACCGTCCGGCTGCCGGGAGAGCCCCTACCGCGACCTTTGTTCGCAGTCATGACGTCACGACAATGGGCTCCTAAACGTACGGGCAGCGGCCGCCTCAGGGGTGCCGCCGTGACCTTTGCACGACACGTTCTATAGCGTATGGCACAGCGGTTACTAGGAAGGTTGAGGCCAGCGGCAGGCCGGTTTACAAAATAACAAACAAACTTGACGCGCAATTGACAACAGGTAACAGATTGATTAATAAAGCGGTGACAATATAAATAAACATGACAACATGAAATGACAAATCGCATAGATGATCCCTACAGTACCCCCTCGCCAGACATGTCGCGGACAAAAGTGACATGGCGATATCTTACCGGAGGTCGTATGACGCGGCCGGAGCGGGTCGTCCGTAGTATCGGCTGAGGCTGCAATGGTGCAGCGTCAGCCCGAGCGACGGCTGCAGGGCGATTTGGTGCGTCACCGTAGATCAGAAGCTCCGGGCCGCTGGGCTCATTGCTGAGCGGTGGCGCGGCCGGCGGGCCGCTGGACTGAGTACCGTGCGGCTGCACAGTCGGCAGGTCAGACTGTCGATGACCGGATTCGTCTGGCGTCTCCAGGAAGGCGGCCTTACACCGGTCGATGCTGATGACCTCCTTTTTCTGTCGACGGTCGATGGTGATGGTTTTGGTGGTCCTTTCGGTAAACGGGAACGGTCCGTCGTATGGAGCGTCCAGCGGGTAGCGGTGACAGTCCCTGCGCACGAAGACGTGTGTCGCCGTCTGGAGTGCCGTCGGGACGTACGTGGCGCGCTGGACCGGACGTGGGAGTGTCGGCCGCACCTGAGACATGGCGCGCTTCAGGTCCTGTACGAAGCCGGCCGGTGATGCTGCTGAGGCTTGGCTGCTGATGAAGAACTCGCCGGGAAGCCGCAGTGAGGAGCCGTACACCAGCTCGGCTGACGTCGCCTGCAGGTCCGCCTTGATGGTGGAGCGTATGCCCAGGAGCACCAGCGGCAGCACGTCCGTCCATGACGTGGCCTGGTGTGCACGGAGGCTGGCCTTCAGCTGGCGATGCAGGCGTTCCACCATACCGTTGCAGGCCGGGTGGTAGGACGTCGTCCGAGTTCGCTGGCAGCCCAGGAATCGCTGTAGCTGCGACCAGAGGGCCGACTCGAACTGGGCGCCTCGGTCCGTCGTGATGATGGACGGAACGCCGAATCGGGCGATCCAGTGCTCGAGGAAGGCGCGGGCGACCGTGGTGGTGCGGATGTCCGGCAGAGGGATGACTTCTGGCCACCGAGTGAACCGGTCGACGCACGTCAGGAGGTACGAGTGCCCTCTTGACGGAGGCATCGGGCCGACGAGGTCCACGTGGACGTGGTCGAAGCGTTGCTGAGGTGGCTGGAAGGTGCCGACGTCAGACTTGGTGTGCCGGCCGATTTTGCAGCGCTGACAGGCGAGGCAGGTTCGGGTCCAGCGGCGCACGTCGCGATCCATACCGGGCCAGACGAACCGCTTAGAGACGAGCTTGACGGTGGCCTCGACGCCAGGGTGCGACAGGTCGTGCAGAGCCTTGGCGAAGGGCCGGCGCAGCGCCTCTGGGAGGACCGGCCGAGGCGATCCGGTGGATTCGTCGCAGAGCAGACGGAGTCCATCGCCGACCGGGATGTGGCGCAGGCGCAGTGAGGTGTCTGAGGCCTCGAGGTCTTCCAGCGAGCCGTCTTCGGACTGGGCCTTGGCGATGGCGGTGAAGTCGGCGAGCGGGGGTCGCGGCTGGGCCACCATCGAGACCGTGCGTGACAGCGTGTCGGCGACCACGTTGTCCTTGCCAGGCACATGGCGGATGTCAGACACGAACTGGCCGATGTAGTCCAGGTGGCGGACCTCTCGTGGCGAATAGCGGTCGGACGAGGAGCCGATGGCCGTTACCAGCGGGCGGTGGTCTGTGAAAATGATTGCTGACCGTCCTTCGATGGCGTGCTTGAAGTGCCGGACGGCCAGGTAGATAGCGAGCAGCTCGCGCCCGAACGTGCTGTATTTCTTCTCCGCTGGTTGGAGCGTTTTCGAGAAGAAAGCGAGGGGCTGCCACTCGCCGGCGACGTGCTGCTGGAGGACGGCGCCCACTCCGCAGTCCGAGGCGTCGACGAAGAGGGCGAGCGGCGCGTCCGGGACTTGGTGTGCGAGATGTGTCGCCGTGGCCAGGGCGTCCTTGACGTTCTTGAAACGCTGCCGCGCCGAGTCTGTCCACGTGACAGGCGCTCTCGAGCGTTTTGCCTTGTGGGTGATTAAGGCGTGCAGAGGCTGCAGGAGCTCGGCTGCCTGGGGGATGAAGCGGTGGTAGTAGGCTACCATCCCCAGGAACCTCCGTAGCTGGGACTGAGTGGTCGGTTCCGGGAAGTCTTTGATGGCCTCGACTCGTCCAGGCAGCGGGCGGACGCCGTCGGCGTCTACCGAGTGGCCGAGGAACACCACCTGCTCCTGTCCCAGGACGCACTTGTGCCTGTTGACGACGACGCCGTAGGTGTTGAGGCGCTGAAGCACTTGGTCCAGGAGCTGTAGGTGGTGTTCGGCAGTCGGGCTGGCCAGCAGAATGTCGTCCAGGTAGACGAAGCAGCCCGGTATGCCGCGGAGGACCTCATCCATGAAACGCTGGAAGGTCTGTCCGGCGTTTCTGAGGCCGAACGGCATCCGAACGCATTCGTAGAGGCCGAACGGTGTCGTGATGGCTGTCTTGGGGACGTCGGCAGGTTCCACCGGGATCTGGTGGTAAGCCTTCACCAAGTCAATGGTGCTGAAGACGGTGCACCCATGCAGGTCGGCTGAAAAGTCCCGCAGGTACGGCAGCGGGTAGCGGTCTGGTACGGTGCGGGCGTTCAGTGCTCTGTAGTCGCCGCAAGGACGCCACTCGCCGGGTCTCTTCTTTGGCACCATGTGGAGTGGAGTTGTCCAGCTGCTGCTCGACGGTCGAATGATGCCTTGCTGGAGCATCTTGTTGAACTCAGCACGTGCGATTTGAAGGCGCTCCGGCGGGAGGCGTCGTGGCCGCTGGTACACCGGTGGACCCTTGGTGACGATGTGGTGCGTCACGTTGTGCTTCACCAGTGTTGGTCCAGGTTTTGGTGTGGTCACATCCGGGTACCGAGCGAGGACAGCTGCGAAGCGAGCAGCAGCCTGCTCCCGGACGAGACGCACTCCGATGGAGCACAGCCGTGACCGCTCGGCGCTGGCGCAGACGGTGCCGTCCCGCAGGAGACGCTGGTTGGCAACGTCCACGACGAGGTGATGCGCGGCCAGGAAGTCGGTGCCCAAGATGGGTGTGGTGACGTCGGTGACGAAGAATCGATGTTTTAGGCGGTGCTGCTGACTCAAGGTGACGTCCAGCAGGCAGGTGCCGTGCACCGCGATCGGTGAGCCGTTTGCCGCGACGAGCTGCTGGCCGACAGGAGCAGGAGTCAGCGTAGACCCGTTGGGCAGGCAGCGGCGAGGCAGCACGCTGACCTGCGCCCCGGTGTCGACTAGAAATTGCCGGTCCGTCTCCGTGTCCCTCACGAAGAGGAGTGGCGCGGCAGGAGGGGCGCCCGTGCTTTGCGCCATCAGCACGGGGCGCCTCAGTTTTCCGAGGCGATCCAGGAGCACGGCAACTTGCATCGGCGCGCTTGGGCGCCGAATCGCTGGTGGTACCAACACAGCGTGTCGTCGTGCGGCGGCGTTGAAGGACGAGCCGGTGACGGGCGGCGTGACTGGCGAGACGCTTGGCGCGGCCGGGAACGGCTGCGGTCGCGCCGCACGGCGTCCTCGAGTCGTCGGTTGCTGGCCTCCAGGCGCTCCATCTTAGCGACCAGGGAGGCGATGACGGTGTCCAGCGCAGGGGTTGCAGCTGGCGCTGGGGCTGTCACTGCAGCAGCGATGGGCGGTGCCGGCTGTGTGTACGGCTGTGCCGCGATCGCTGATAGCCGTGGGTCCGGTCCGCTAGCTTCCAGGTACCGGTCGGCCGCTTCTGCCAGTGCGTCAAGCGTGCTGTCGGCTGGCAGGAGGGCGAGGGCAGCACGGACGGGCTGCGGTAGCCGTTGTTGAAATAGGGTACGGAAGAGCTCCGTATCAACCGGGGCGTCCCCGGCTGCGGCTAGCTCGTTGCGCATTGAGCGCAACAGCGCCGTCGGCTTCTGATCGCCGAGCTGCTGGCGGCCGAGCAGGGCTTGTAGTCGGTCGGCGCGTGACTGTGCCAGGCGGGCTTGGAGCGCTGCACACAGCACGTCAAAAGACCGGGATGACCGGATGACGTCCTTCACCTGGACGGCGATGTTGGCGGGGAGGTTTGCAACGAGGAGCTTGAACCTCAGCTCGTCGGAGTCGACCCCGCTGACGTCGAAAGCGCACTGCACCTGCAGTAGCCACAGGTCGGGCTCTTCCGGAGAGTATGGTGGTAGCCGGAAGCTAGCCATGGGCCGATGAGTTGACTCGGAGGCTGAAGCTGGAACGCTGGCTGGGTCTTGAGCTGCGGCGCCGGACTGTGCGCTGTCCGCCGGCATGACGAGAGGCTAAGGTCGAACGACGGAGATCACGTCGGGGTCACCAATTGTCGTACTGCGCTGTGGGTAGCGCGTGGCCGGACGGACGGTCTGTGACAATCTATTGATCTGTGGCTGGTCTATTAGAGTGTCCGTCCGAGAGCCGTACGACGGCTGACAGAGCCTGGGGTCGCGAACTGGTGTGGTAACCGTTACGCCCACCTGGGACGCCCGAGTCGGTACGGCACTTGCGGTGTCGTAACCGGATCGGCGGGAACCAGCAGAACGCTGTTGGACCGGCGGTGAAAGTCGGAACCGAGCACTCGCCCACCAGTGGGCGTCTGGTCGAGCAGGTCTACCCGCTAAGGCAGCCTGAGCACGAGCCAGTGGCAGGGTCCGATCAGTGACCGTGGTCCGACCAGGGTGTCAGCGCAATGGCCAGTCAGAGGCGTCTTTAAGGGCGCAGAAGCCCACCTCGGTCGACTGTGGCCGGTGCAACCTAGTCAGGTCGTTTGTGTGAATCTCCGTGTTCTTCCTTCGCCTCAGAGTAGCCGCTCTTCTCCAAATGCCCGAGCCGTTTTCTATGTGTATTTGTCTTGTAGCGAACAGCAGAGTCGAGAAACGAATTGACAATGTCGCCGAAAGCCGCGGTCACATGCTGGCCGTCCCTAGTACTACCAATATGCCCGCAGGCGCGGCGAGAGACAAGCTTAACGTATGAGTCACCGTCCGGCTGCCGGGAGAGCCCCTACCGCGACCTTTGTTCGCAGTCATGACGTCACGACAATGGGCTCCTATACGTACGGGCAGCGGCCGCCTCAGGGGTGCCGCCGTGACCTTTGCACGACACGTTCTATAGCGTATGGCACAGCGGTTACTAGGAAGGTTGAGGCCAGCGGCAGGCCGGTTTACAAAATAACAAACAAACTTGACGCGCAATTGACAACAGGTAACAGATTGATTAATAAAGCGGTGACAATATAAATGAACATGACAACATGAAATGACAAATCGCATAGATGATCCCTACAACAGCACACCGACTGTACCGCCACGGGGGAGGCCGAACGGCAACTATCACCCCGCTAGAATTCCGAGTGTTACGACTGGGGATTGGGGAACTCAAGTCAGCGGTGCCTTCACCCTGGTCTGCACTCCACACACACATATATTCCGGGTGTAACACGAGGGGTGGCGGGTTTCTGTGTCGGCCTCCTGATTGACCTGCATATGATATATCCCTGCGTCTGGATGGAGGCAGTGCTGGGGAGGAGCTGTGTAGGTGTGTGGGGCCTCGGTATATGACCGTGTGTCCGCCGCTGCCCCTCAGCTGGATGGAGGCGGTGCTGGGGGAGCCGCTGCCGCCCACCACTGAGCTCGAGGAGTCGCTGCGCCACGGCGTACACCTGGCGCGCCTGGCGCTGCGGCTGCGTCCGGACGGTGCGCGGCGCGTCTACGACCCGGACCTGGCGCGCTACGCGGCGCGCGGCCTCCAGTTCCGGCACACCGACAACATCAACCTGTGGACGCAGACCATGCGCGATATGGGTCTACCGCAGGTGCGTGCGGAGCCGCCGCCGACCGGCCGGGTGGGACCGCTACCCCTCGCCGCCGCGCTGTGCCCAGCATCCAGGCAGATGTCATTTGACGCAGTGCACGAATTACATAGACTGCAAAGTAGAAATGAACTTGCTTGCGGTGCAAGTCTGATTCAGGGTAACCTGTCGATATAGCGTTTGTTTCTGTCTGAGAGGGCGCTGGCGGACCAATACTGCCAGAGGCTCCTGCCGCCGCCTCAGCTCATGGCCACGCTGAACCCCTTCAGCTCTCAGTGTGGTCTCTCACCCTGCTGTAACCTCCACCCTACTGTGCGCGCAGACTTTTATCCCGACCACCACCGACGTGTACGAGAAGAAGAACATGCCCAAGGTGATCTACTGCATCCACGCGCTGAGCCTGTTCGCCTTCAAGCTGGGCCGCGCGCCACAGATGCTCGACCTGCTCGGCAAGGCGGTGTTCACCGGTGAGTGACGCCGAGACCCGGCCGGACCTGGGTGGGACCCGACTGGGACACGGCCGAACCTGGGTGGGACCCGACTGGGACACGGCGGGACCCGGCGGGACCTGGGCGGGACCTGGGCGGGACCCGATTGGGACCCGACCGGACCGGCCGGCGAGACCCGGTGCACCATTGCCATGGGATGTCTGCTAAGGCTTGTACGTGACTATTGACCCGCCATACCAATTTACCAATAATTTAACCTTCTGTCTTCAATTGCTCATCAGACTTTCCTACTCAGGCGGAGTTTTCGCTGTACCTCAAAAGGTAGTCTGAGCTGCAGCTTCTTTCGATTTGGCTAGGAGCACCTCACCTGACCGGCGTTGACCTCTTGAAAAGTATCAGCAGGGGTGATGTAGCCTGCGGTGACCTCTGTGTCGGGTGCCTAGGTGCGCTGACCTCTGTTAACTGAGTGCGGAGGTGACCTCTCTGTGCTGTGTGCGGAGGTGACCTCTCTGTGATTGTGTCTGCAGAGGCGGAGATTGACGCCATGTCGGCCGAGCTGCGCAAGTACGGCCTCAGCCTGCCGACGTTCGGTAAGATCGGCGGCATCCTGGCCAGCGAGATGCCGGTCGACAAGGCCGCCCTGCACGCCGCCGTCATCGTCATCAACGAGGCCGTCGACCGACAGGTGAGCGGCCGGCTGGGGCGGGCGGTACTCCGCGGGTGGACCGGGACACGCCGGGTATAGGGCGGGGAACTTGACTGGTAGTGCCAAACGCCATCACACTACTGACCTAACCTCCATCCGCTCCGCTGTCTGCTGGTCGATGTTAGACACCAGTACACGACACTGACCCCTCCCGTCCCGTTCTAGGTACCGGCGGAAACTCTGGCCGGCCTGCAGAACCTGCACGCCCACCTGCGGGACGTCTCGGCGGAGAACGCCCACCTCTACCAGGAGCGACTCTGGGACGCCAAGAGGGCCAAGGTGGAGGCTGCCCAGAACAGGGTACGTAACACAGGCCGTAACCAGGCTGCCCAGGACGGGGTACGTGACACAGACCGTAATGCTGCCCAGAACAGGGTACGTACGTAACACAGGCTGTAACACAGGCCGTGACTCAGACCGTAACACAGGTCGCCCAGAACAGGGTATGTAACATTGTAACACAGACCGCCCAGGAAAGAGTACGTGCGTGCATGCTGCAGTCAGTGTGACTTCAAAAGCCGCCAGACCGGAGCTGGTACCGGTTGTTGGACAGGTGCTAGTGTACAGGGTGTCCGGAAATTATCTGCCCCTCCATCAGCTCGCCGCCATTATTAATAAACAAACAGCCCCCGGCTCATGGTTTATTGACCGATTTATCCCCTACCCTGTCCTACCCATTCCCTCATCCGCTTTGGCATTCCATAGATCAAGATGTCCAGAGTGTTCGCGCTGATGCTCAGCCACACCTTTCACAGGTTCCTCTTTAAGTCCGTTTACTGTGGGAGCTGTTTCAATCTTGCTGAGCTCCTTTATGTTTATGATTCCCCATAGGTTTTCAATTGGGATTAGGACAGAGGAATCGATTTGACTTCCTACTTCATTCCAGTCTTCACCATAACTCTAGCGCGATGACGCTTTGTCAAAAAAATTCTTTCGTCAACTCACAGTAGACACCACGTTCAGGTGCGAGTTACGCCTGCCAAACGCTGGCTCCTGGCGCCTCTCACTTGTCAAGGGCAGGTGACTGGGTTAGGTCATGTGACAAACAGACAGCTGTGGATAGCCTTAGGCACGGTTTAGCAATTTTTCAACAGTTCTTAAAGCGCACAGTGGGATTATAGTTGAATGAATAAGGGGCAAATAATATCCGGGCATCCTGTATGTGACGGCGTCCCCGTTGTGTGAGTGTCAACTCGCCGAACTGTAGAGTGCGTACTGCGTAGTATGTACACTGACGAACTCTTCCCACCCCTCCCTCTACTCCCCGTCAGTCGCTGGCTTAGACGGGACCGTGCATGACTGTACATATGACTACCCACTCCGTCCGTTCGCCATCAGTCCCTCTCTGAGGCGGTGGAGTGTGAATGTTTGTGGACCGTGCGGCTGCACGCTGACGGACCCCTGCCCCTGCTCGCCGGCAGTCTCTGAGGTGTGGATGTAAACTGACGTACCCTCTCCCCTGCTCGCCGACAGTCTCTGTATGAGGTGTGGATGTAAACTGACGGACCGCTCCCCTGCTCGCCGGCAGTCTCTGAGGTGTGGATGTAAACTGACGTACCCCTCCCTCTCCCCTGCTCGCCGCCAGTCGCTCTCTGAGACGTTCGAGGCGGACGTGTACGACGAGCTGCTGACCCAGGCCGAGATCCAGGGACACGTGGCGGCGGCCAACCGGTCGGCGGCGCTCGGCCAGCTGCACTCGGCTGTGTCGGCTGGGGACAGCGGCCGGCTGCTGGCGGCGCTCTGTAGCCCCGCCCTGGGCCTCCAGGTCAGTGGGGGTGCGGTACGGCCCTGTCTGGGCCTGCAGGTCAGTGGGCATACGGTACGGTAAGATACACACTGCTGGCGGCGCTCTGCAGCCCCGCCCTGGGCCTACAGGTCAGTGGGACATCCTACACCCGCCGCCCGTGTACACTGTACACACCAGCGGTACGGTAGTTACACACGCCGCCTCCCGTCTGCATGGTCCCTGAGCCCTAAGCCCGACCGTGTGTCCCCAGGGGTTTGTCGGACTGGGACCGCCTGTCTGTCGGACTGTGACCCGTGTGATGCCCCCCAGGGCGTGTCGCCGGACTGTCGGACTGTGACCCATATGATGCCCCCAGGGCGTGTCGCCGGACCTGTGTTGGACTGTGACCCGTGTGATGCCCCCAGGGCGTGTCGCCGGACGCGGCGGCCGGCTACCTGGACGGTCTGCGGCGGGCCACCAACGGCCACCCGCTCTCGGCGGAGGAGGTACAGACGGTCGTCAGTCGTGTGAACCAGCTCTCCAGCCAGCGACACAGAGGTCAGTCGCCGCACCGGGCGTACTGTAACGGGGCCGCCTCCGTAGACACAGACAATCATGACACATGGATGCATACATACCTACGTGCATGCATTCATACGTTGGCCCGTTATCGCAGCAATGTGTTAACGGCGTGTGAAGTTGCGACATAAATGAACACATGCGACATAATTAAAGTCATGATACTCCGTGGCTCTGTGAGCGGCTCCGTGGCTTCGATCTGCATTTATTCGCGTGCCTGCACGGGTTCCATGTCATTAGGATCTATGATTCCTACATGGCTCATTACAACTTCAGTTGTGAATAATGAACGGTAATACCGCTTTAATGGAAATATGCAAATGAGGCACAACTACAATGGTCGATAAGTGCGCGACTGAATGGTGATGAAGAGCCAAATCTCCAGTAATCTCCCCACCTCTGTCGTCACACGCTATACGGCGGAGTTGGAACTGTGCTGCGGAGCCACTCAGCTCAGCCAGCAGCCCGGTTACGACCATCCGTCAGCCGGCCACACCATTTAATCTGACCGGATCGGCGGCTATTGCCGGCGGTACGCGGTCACTCCCCTCCCCGTCTTTCCCGGGCGGCCCATCTGTCTCCGGGAGGGCGCTAACGACAGGTCGCCGGCCACGATGGCAAAAAGGCACCATTAGTGCCGCTCGATACACCTGAAGCTGGGCTCCGGGAGGAGTTCGGTCGGATGTCCGGTGCACTGTGGGGTGTTTTTGACCGGGCGGATCAGTGCTGGGAGCTGACCGCCGGCAGCCGACGCTCGGTGTACTATATCTGGCTCACGGTCGGAAGCTGAACGACTACAGTCGACGCTCTATATTATCGGCCAGAGCGGCTCATGTCCGTGAGCTGACGGCTTGCTGCCGTCGCTAGGTGTCTGATGCTCGTTTTAGTGACTGTGGCGGAAGGTGACCGCCCTCAAAGGGCGCTCGCTGTGCTATGTTCGGCTCACGGTCGGGAGCTCACCGCCTGCAGCCGTCGCTCGGTGTCCGAGCTGACGGTGGTGAGTTCCGACCGGCGCCGGCCGGTCGCCGCGCTGCCGCCGCCGGCCGCGGCCGGTCGGGCGCCGGCCCAGCGCGCCAGCCGCGGCAGGTGCGCCCGCAGCGCGGCCCGGTAGCGCGGGTGGCCAAGCGCGTACACCAGCGGGTTGTACGTGCACGCCGTCTTGGCGACCAGCGCCGGCAGTGCGGAGACGAGCGGCGTCAGGAGCGCGGTCCGGCCGCTGGCGCCCAGCGCCGCCACGGCGCAGTAGGGCGTCCAGCACAGCGCCCACACGCCGACGTTGGCCAGCGCCACCTTGGCGATGCGCACCTCGAGCGAGCGGCGCTGCTCTGGTCCACTGCTGCTGCGCAGCGTCGTCACGCTCATCCGGCGCGCCTGCTCGCGCAGCAGCCGCTCGTGCTCGCGCACGGCGCGCATGATGTGGAAGTAGAAGTAGCAGATGGCCGCCAGCGGCACGGCGAAGAAGAAGGTGACGCACGTCCAGATGTAGGCCACGTTGGCCGGACTGCGGTCCAGGTAGTCGAAGGTGCACGAGTTGAGGATGCCCTCGGGCACGTAGGCGCCGACGCCAAGCAGCGGCAGCGCCGTGAAGGTCAGCGTGTATACCCAGAGGGCGGCGATGACGGCGGCGGCGCGGCCGGCCGTCAGCGGCGTCGCGCCCAGCGACAGCACGATGACGCGGTAGCAGTCCCAGCTGATGGCCGTCAGGCTGAGGATGCTGCCCAGCCCGCCGATGGCGCCCAGCAGGCCGTAGGCGCGGCAGGCGAGCGGGCCCAGCCGCCAGGCGCCGCCCGACAGCGCGTTGTAGACAAACAGCGGGTGGTTGGTGGTCATGATGAGGTCGGCGATGGTCATGTTGACGATCAGCATATTGGACGGCGTGCGCAGCCTCCGGTCGCGCAGGAACAGGTAGAGCGCCGTCAGGTTGGCCGCCAGGGAGACGACGCCTGCCGACAGAGGGTGGCTCGTCACACACCAGAGTCGCGCCGTCACCCTCGCGGAGATCGTAACCCCCATCCGCAAACCGTGCCAGCGGCGCAGAATCTTACTACAAAGTCGAGCGGCTGCTGGCATCCACATTTCACTATTCACTGAATGGCTGCAGGAATATAATGTCCGGGGCGGGTGCCCGGCAATGTTTACGGAGGCGGGCGCAGACGAGAGGTCAAGCTCACAGACGAGGGCGCAGATAATACAGCACTGACAAACAAGAGCCCAGACGAGGGCCGTACTCGCAGACGATGGCGCAGACTCTCCTGTACTCACAGATGAGGGCGCAGATTTCCCTATACTCACAGACGAAGGCGCAGACTCCCCTATACTCACAGACGAGGGCGCAGACGATGCCGAGACCGTAGTTCCAGAGCGGCTCGACGGGCGGAAACTGGTGCCAGTGGACGGGCGCCAGGGGCCGCAGGTCGGCCGGTACCAGGTCGATGAGACGCGCCGTCTCTCCGGACATCTGGAGACGGAGACGGACGGGCGTGACGGCCAGACGGCCGGCGGCGGCGGCCCGTGCCGGTCCCGGCCCACCAGTGGTGCCCGTGCCGGTCCCGGCCCACCAGAAGTCGTTCTGTCCCGGCCCACCAGAAGTGGTTCTGTCCCGGCCCACCAGTGGTGGTTCTGTCCCGGCTCACCAGAAGTGGTTCTGTCCCGGCCCACCAGGAGTGGTTCTGTCCCGGTCCAGATCCTACGGCATTCGGTAACCAACTAATCCACATCTGAGACGGCCGCCGACGCATCACCTTGGAGACAGCTCCGCTGCCGGTCCGTTTTTTACCACAGCTCCTCAGTTACTGGTGTGACTGACAATCCGGGAACCTCCCCGTGTGGCCGGTCGGATTTTTTACCCGTGACGTAATAGAAAGTCGGATCGTGTGACACCCATTACCGCCGCTACTAGCAGCGTGGTGGCCGGTGTCAGAGCATTGGCATCGCGGCTGGTTGGCGTGGGACATTCTTTCTTTGAATTACATCATATTGTCACCGCTGTTACGAAACGGTATCAGACTGTATCGTTGTGATATCAAACGAGTGGTTTGATTATATATGAAAAAAATGATGCATTGAAAACTTGCTCTGGATTTTCATGAAGTCATTTAAAGGTATTGGAAAGTAATATAATTTCATGGTGGGGACAAAATCATTTAGGTACATACATTTAGTTCTGACGGATAAAATGACGACGTGTGGCTCTGTAAGGCTAGAATCTTGCACGGACCACGTACTACTTTAAAAAAAAAAAATCTAGCCACGTCAAAGGTGTTGGTTAAAGGTGTGCTTATGACCTGACCCGCCTATATATAGTTTTGAACTTGCCTCTGCCACACTGCTGCAGAAGTGTCGATCAAAGTTGTTTGGTGACGGTCGTGCTGAAGACTTGGCGCACTGAAGCCTGCGGATCTGATCGGCCGTTCGCTGACCCACTGAGCCCGGTATTTTAGACCTTCTGAGCCCCGTGTGACCGGGCGGGGTCGCGGCTACCGACAGCCGCTGTCGGCCGGTCCGAAGTCGGCCGACGAGTCCCTACCCCCACTCCGAGTCGGCCAGTCCGCGAGCGGGTCCCTGCCGCAGCGGCCGACGATCCGGCGGTGCGGCGCGCGCCGGTCCGGCCGGCTCCCACCAACCGAGGGAAAGGAGCGTAATACACGGCGAACACGCGGCGCAGGGGCTCACTCTGTTCCCTATCCAGAAGGTGTAATGTCTTGAACGCATGCTCACTCCTTTCCCGCATCTCAGTAGTTCTTTCATTCTTCTAAATAATGGATGCGGACCGGAACATTTTCGGCACATTTATTCGGCTCGTGTTAACCCAACTGGACGGCGTCGTTGGCAGAGCCGTCCGGTCTGATCTGCGAGCTCGGCTGTCCGGTGACCCTCTGACGCTGTTGTGTGGCCCTGTGGCGCTGTTCGGTGCGGTCCTGTGTTGTGTTGTCCGGTGACTGTCGGCTGTCCGCTGACCGTGTGTCGGCTCTCCGTCAGAGGAGGAGCTGGTGGCGGCCGTGAACGGCTGTCTGGTCTGAGTGCTGTGGTGCTCTGCTGTCCGGTGACCCTGTGCTGTGACTGCTGTGACCCTGTGCTGTGACTGTGACGGTGACTGTGGGACCCTGTGGTTCTCCGCTGACCGTGTGTCGGCTCTCCGTCAGAGGAGGAGCTGGTGGCGGCCGTGAACGGCTGTCTGGCGGCTCCGGACGCCAGCGCCGGCCGGCTGCTGGCGCTGTTGGACCAGCTGCGGTCGCCGGACGCCGGCGCGCTGCCCGGCTGGGCGGCGCCGCTCTTCCTGCGCGAGATGGCCGCCGTGCGCCGGGAGCAGGCGGCCGACCTGAGCGCGGCGGCCGTGCGCGGCGCGTTGGGCCTGCTACCGGCCGTGGCGCGGGTGAACGCGGCGCTGGCCGCCGGAGAGCCGGCCGCCCTGTGGCGCGCCCTCGCAGACCCGGCCGTCTACATCCTGGTACGTGGCTGGGGCTGGGGCGCCGCGCGGGGGCTGGGTGCCGCGCGGAGGCTAGGTGCCGCGCCGGGGGCTGTGTAGTGTGTAGTGTGTACTGTGTGCAGTAACTTACTGTGGTATGTGTTGCTGATACTGTCTGCTGTCCTTTATCGTTGACGTCGGCGGTCACCGCAAGCGACACACTGATTACTGAACCGATGGTAGTATAATGAGAGCATGGACCGTGATCAGACGGCCGCATGGGGTCGCGACAGGGCGCTAGGTACTCTTGGAAGGCTAGGCACTGGTGACGAAGCAGACCTTGTTTACCGGTCGTTGTCAACCAGTGTCCCTCTCTCTGCCCCTGTCCCCTGGTATATCCTCCCTGCACCCCGCCTGCCGTGTCGGCCCGCTCACTCCCGTGTGCGGCGCGCAGGACCTGGACGAGAGCTGCAGCCGGCGCTACCTGTCGGCGCTGACGGCCGTCAGTCGCGCGGTGCGCGCCGAGACCCCCGACTGTCCGTTCGTCACACACGCGCTGCTGCAGCGCACTGTCGACGACGTGAACGCCGACGTACAGGAGGAGCAGGACAGTGAGTTTAACTGCAGGACTGTGAGGGAGAGGGGAGGAGCAGGACAGTGAGTGTAACTGCAGGGCTGTGAGGGGAGGGCAGGAGCAGGACAGTGAGTGTAACTGCAGGACTGTGAGGGGGAGGGCAGGACAGTGAGTGTAACTGCAGGGCTGTGAGGGGAGGGCAGGACAGTGAGGGGAGGGCAGGAGCAGGACAGTGAGTATAACTGCAGGGCTGTGAGGGGAGGGCAGGACAGTGAGTGTAACTGCAGGGCTGTGAGGGGAGGGCAGGACAGTGAGGGGAGGGCAGGAGCAGGACAGTGAGTATAACTGCGGGGCTGTGAGGGGGAGGGCAGGAGCAGGACAGTGAGTGTAACTGCAGGGCAGGTGAGGGGAGGGCAGGAGCAGGACAGTGAGTATAACTGCAGGGCTTTGAGGGGAGGGCAGGACAGTGGGTGGAGACGACAGGAGCAGGAAAGTGAGTGCCTATAACTGCCGGGCTGTGAGGGGGAGGGCAGGATAGTGAGTATAACTGCAGGGCTGTGAGGGGGGACGGCGGGACAGTGAGTGTGGACGGTACGGTAGGAGCAGGGCAGGGAGTGGGGAAGGGAACAGTGGAGACGAACAGAGGGTGGATGTTTAGGAAGAAGAGAATGCAGAGGATGGGAAAGAAGAGAGTGCAGAGTTGCACCGAAGGGACTGGGTAGTAGATGAGTGGAAACGGGACTCACGGGCGAGAGTATGCCAGTGAGGCGCTGGAAAGAGAGCGGCCCGTGGAAGGAGACCTGTAACTTCTAAACTATGAGGAGGCTGAGCGGTTTGGCAAAGGGAGAGAGGATGCGGCTATCACGATGTTCAGCGGACCCCGGGCCGGTCGTTGAGAGCCGGCCGGGGACAGGGCGCGGCCGTCGCCTGTGGCCGGCGCTGTGTGCCCCTCTGTGGACGCCGGTGACACCCCCCTCCGTCCCGTCCCCCCGCCTCCGCCCCTCGTGCAGAGGTGGAGCTGATTGAGCGGGTGAACCGGGCCGTGCTCGCCGAGGACGACGGGGCGCTGCTGACCGCGCTCACCAACCCCATCCTGGGCTACAGCAGCGTCGGAGAGCATAACGTCCGCCACTGTCTGCAGCTGCTGCAGGTAACACTAACCACACGGTGTAACCGGTAACCATCGCCCCACAACGTGCGCCACTGTCTGCAGCTGCTGCAGGTAACCACACGGTGTAACCGGTAACCACACCGCGTAACCAGTAACCATCGCTGTAACCAGTAACCACCGCTGTAACCGGTAACCACCGCCCCGCAACGTGCGTCAATGTCTGCAGCTGCTGCAAGTAACCAGCCAGCGCTTATCCAGTCCTGGCAAGGCAATACACTGGCTGATACATTGTAGGTGGCGAAGTATTGTCTCTTACATATAATACCCTGTGTGTCCGGCCCTGAATTATATTGTCGCCGCTTTATGTTCACGTTTCCCCTCCGCTCCGTCTCCCTCACCTTCAGGAGGTGCAGCAGGAGCAGGACGGCGGCGACGGCGACGGCCTCCTATGGTTGGAGCACGTGGACCAGGCCGTCCGCAACGCCCTCGTCGACCACGAGCTGGCCGAGCGGGGTGAGAGACGCGCGGGAGGAAAGGTGGAGGGGCGGTCCCTCACACCAGTGGGCCGGGGCGTGCGCCGCGTGTGGGACGCGGGGCAGGGGCGGTAGAGGGGCGGTCCCACACACCGGTGGGCCGGCGCGCGCCGCGAGTGGGACGCGGGGGCCGGGTGTGTCAGACGCCGAAGAGTGTTTCTGAACTTGACTTCAACCTAAAATGTTCGTACTTTAATTTAGACGTAATTTGTGGCGTAAATCCACTTCATAAATCGGTCGTGAACAGAACAAACAACTGAGCTATTCGCCGTACCCGTGCCTCGTCTAGAACTGACCCGATCCCCCTTGGCAGCGTCCGCGGCGCTGTGTGGCTCGTATCCCCGCCGCACTACTGACCCGAGCTGCACACAGCTGTACTGACCCGATCCTTTGCCAGCATGCGCGGCGCTCTGTGGTTCGTGTGTCCCCGCCGCGCTCGTGTCTGACCCGATCCTTTGGCAGCGTGCGCGGCGCTGTGCGAGCTGAACGGCCCGGCGCCGGCCGGTGGCCTGTCGGCGGACCGCCTGGTGGCGCTGCTCTCGCTACCCTGCCTGGGACTACACGATGTCTCGCCGGGCCTGGCGCAGCACTACCTAGCCGCGCTGAGACGGCACCGCGCCGCCGGTCAGCACACACAGGTCAGTCAGGACGTGTCGGGGAACGGATACGGGTCAGTCATGGAGTGTCGGGGAACGGATACGGGTCAGTCGAGTGTCGGGACACAGACACAGGTCAGTGGAGTGTCGGGGAACGGATACGGGTCAGTGGAGTGGCGGGAGATCAGCCTCAGACCGTCCCCGGAGGACGTCATCTCCCCCGGAGCTCAGACTCCGTCCCCGGTAGATAGTCTTCCCTCCGATCGTAGATGAATGGATAGAACTGCAACCTGTCTCCACCGTCTCTACTGTCTGTGACTGTCTGTAACGGCACCATCCGTCCGTAGCGTTCTGCCGGCGCGTGGGTTCGCCACTCGCTGGGTGGGCAGTCACAGTAGCGTGCCCCGGCCCTCTGTAACCGTCTGTCCGTCCACAGAGTTCTGCTGGCGCGTGGGTGCGCCACTCGGCTGGCGGGCGGCCATAGTACCGTTCCCCGGCCCTCTGTAACCGTCTGTGCGCCCGCAGGGTTCGTCGGGCGCGTGGGTTCGCCACTCTGTGGGCGGCGCGGTGGAGGCCTACCTGGACCTGAGCGGCGGCCGGGTGAGCTGGCAGCCGCCCGACGGCCACCAGATCGGCGGCCACTGGCTCGACCAGACCACACTGCAGGTGAGAACTGAGCAGGCCACTGCACTGGCAGGGCGGCCACTGGCTCGACCACACCACACTGCAGGTGAGAACTGACCCGGCCACTGGCTCGACCAGACCACACTGCAGGTGAGAACTGACCCGGCCACTGGCTCGACCACACCACACTGCAGGTCAGTACCGACCCGACACTGCACTGGCAGGGCGGCCACTGGCTCGACCAGACCACACTGCAGGTCAGTACTGAGCAGGCACTGGCCTGGTTCGAACAGATCACACTGCAGGTCAGAGTGTGTGCCGGCAGGGCGATCGGCAACGGGTCTGGCCCGGGCGGACTAACGCCTGAAACAGACTCTTTCCGCAGTCAGGAAATCGCATGCGAGAGCCTATTCAAATACATAGAAGCACGCTCGCATCAATCGCACGTACCTCCCGGATGCGATTGATGCGGCTCTCGCATGCGATTTCCTAAACGCGGAAAGAGTCAGTTTCAGCCTTAACAGTCGCTCGCACATCAACACACTGATTTCCGTGGGGTGAGAACACGAAGCTGTGAATTCTACTTCGAAATGGGCGTGGATCTTGGATATCACATCAGTTTAACGGTTAACCGCATGTTAAATGTTTCATTTAGATATATCTCACAGTGAAACCGGGGTAGCTGGCAGTGTCACCAGTCTGTGTCTGTACCGGTAGGGATTGCTGACGGGGTGGTGTACCGACAGGCACTGGTGACTGAGGCGGCGCTCGGCGAGGCCGGCAGACAGTGTTACCAGTCTGTTGTGTACCGGTAGGGATTGCTGACGGGGTGGTGTACCGACAGGCACTGGTGACGGAGGCGGCGCTCGGCGAGGCCGGCAGACAGTGTCCGGAGCGGTGGCTGGTCCCGCTGCAGGCAGCTGCCAGGGGTCTGCTGCTGCGCCGCCGGATCCGCCAGAGGCGTCTCTTCCTCAGCCGGCACACGGACCAGATCGTCCGCATTCAGGTGGGTGCGCCGTGCCGACCGGACCGCGACGGCGCCTGCCATACAGTGCTGTGCCCGGTGGGCTGAATTCTGATCTTCATGGGACTGCTCGCGCCTCCGCCTGACAGCCGTGTATTATGTGTGTCCCCGTACAGTCTCGCCGCCCAGCAGGCCTCTGTGTGTCTGGCTGTGTCTGAGAGTGCGGGCATGTTTGTGTGTCTGTTCAGTCCCCTCCCCTCACTGTAGGTCTGGTGTCGCGGTGTGTATGTAACAGACCCCTATCCCCACCGCTTTCAGGCCTGGTGGCGCGGCGTGCGCCAGCGGCGGCGCTTCCTGCTGCAGCGCGCCGCGCGGATGAAGGAGCGCGTCGACCAGCTGCGCCGGGAGGTGGACGAGCTGAGGGAGCGACGCGAGTGGGAGGAGGGCGTCCTCGCCCGGTACAAGCCGCACGTGAGTCACAAATCAATCAGTACAGGCTCCACGTGAGTCACACAGTACAGGACTCACGTGAGTCACACAGTACAGAACTCACGTGAGTCACAGATCAGTCAGTACAGGCTCCACGTGGGTCACACGAGCCCCACCGCGACCCTGTCGGCGGGGTTGGAGGTCTGTTATACGGGGGTGAGGATGGGCGGCCGCTGCCGACCGACTGACGGTGACGGACGCGCTCCCCACCCGTGTGCGGAGGTCCGCGGGGGCAGGGGCGGACTGTGGGTCGGCTGACGGTGTCTGCTGGTGGCGCCGGCACCACCTGTGCTGACGGTGTGTGTTTGCTGGTGCCCCCGTCCACAGGAGGAGCTGGTGGTGCGGCTACAGCGCTGGTGGCGGCGGCACCACCTGCGCCAAGAGTTCCAGCAGCTGGCCGGCCGGGCGTCGCCCTCGGTGCCGCTGCTGAGGAAGTTTGTCCACCTGCTGGATGTGCGCGGCGCCGACTTCAAGGAGGAGGTCCAGCTGCAGGTCAGTTACACAACGCCGGCAGGTAAAGGCGCAGCTCAGTGCACCGCGGATAGGTACAATGTACGTATACTTTGTATGATTCAGTGTACTGTTAGCGGGTGCAGGGCGGATCTCACCAATCCTCAATGTAAACCAGCCTGTATCTCACGTCCCACATGACACTGTAACCGTCCATAGTACACCCACACCAGTTTGTCCTGCGTCCACTCGAGGACAAACATGTTACGTACTGAACGCCCACGTCTGTGTCTCTGGCGTGCTGAGCAGAAGCTGAAGGCGGACGTGGCGCAGATGATCCGCAAGAACCAGATGCTGGAGCGCGATCTGGACACGCTGGATGTGAAGATCGGCCTGCTGGTCAGAAACCGCATCAGCCTGCAGGTGCGTGACCGTAAGCCGCACCCGGGCCCGGCGACAGGTCCCAGCGATTCTGGAGCTCTGGTGGGAAAATAATCATTTGCACTTCAGCTTAAATTCTTTGGCACCGTTTTTTTTTTTTTTGTGGGCATGCTGGGGTTTAATTTGCGTGTGACCCTCAATCTTAATTATTGACTCCACTTTTACAATCAATAACCTTATGCTTTTATGACTAAGATATTATGCAACTGCTTCAAGACGCTGGTGTTGACGGCAACCGCCTCTTTCAACAGGAGGTGCTGATGCACAGTAAATCGATGGATGCCGCCAACAAGACGGGTACGCTCCCCAACAAACTGGGCACAATGTCCCGCGGCCAGGGTCTGAAGGTAAGCTATGGCGCCCCTTCCTACGCTTAGGGACTGAGCTGAGATACCCTCCCCTAAACGAGGGACTCATTTCACGGTTCAGCCGAGTCCCCCTGTCCCTCGGCCAGTGACCGAGCGGACCCCCCCCCCCGTCCGTTCTCGCCGCTGACCGTTGCGGTTTCCGTTGCCGTCAGGCGCTGAGCCGCGAGAGCCGCGCGCGGCTGTCGCTGTACCAGCAGCTGTTCTACGAACTGCAGACGCGGCCCGAGTACCTGGCGCGCCTGGTGTTCGCGCTGCCGCCCGGCCAGTCGGGGCGCTTCCTCGAGTCAGTGGTGCCCAGCGTCTTCAACTACGGCGCCAACGACCGCGACGAGTTCCTGCTCGTCAAACTGTTCCGCATCGCGCTCCAGGAGGAGGTCAGGTCAGTCCACAGGGGTCACATCGGAGGGTCAGACTCAGTCGGCAGGAGGGTTCAGGTTTATGGGAAGATGCCACCAGTGATCGGTGCATTGGGGTCATATCGGATTGAGGTCAGTTCATAATATAGTCTTGAGTTCAGATGCGTGAACACTGAAATGGTCATCCTAGAGAGTTCTGACCCGACTCATGGACAGGTGTACTGACTGGGCGGCGTGTGCTGTGATTGCTGTCAGGTCTCGGGTGGACCGTCTGTCGGACGTGGTGACCGGTAATCCGATGGTGGTTCGGCTGATCGTGCAGTACAGCCGGCGCCACCCGCTGCGGCCCGTGCTGGGCCCGCTGGTGGAGCGGGTGCTCACAGACCGCAGCCTGCTCATCAACACCAGTCCCGTGGAGATCTACCGACACTGGGTGAACCAGCAGGAGGCGCAGACCGGCCAGCCCTGGTGAGTGGGGACCGACACTGGGTGAACCAGCAGGAGGCGCAGACCGGCCAGCCCTGGTGAGTGCGGACCGACACTGGGTGAACCAGCAGGAGGCGCAGACCGGCCAGCCCTGGTGAGTGCGGACAGAGACTGGTACAGACCTGACCGGCCCGCCGTTGGCGATCCGGACATGGGATCCTGACTCGCCCGGCCAGAGCGCGCATTGCCGGCCAACACTCAGTGCGAGCAGCCTCCGCAGCACGTCAGGCTCCCTCGGACTCCTCCCCCCCCCCCTGATGGGTGACCCATCACCTGCCCTCGGAGGCCGCTGTCCCCGGTATTCTCCGCGGCTGTCTGACGCACTGCCCCCTCTGCCCCGTCCCCAGCGGTCTGCCGTACTCGGTGACCCAGGAGGAGGCCCTCCAACACCCCGAGGTCAGCCGCCGACTCAGCCGTGCCATCCACTGCCTCAAGGAGGCCTCCAACATATTCCTCGACGAGATCTTCAACGCGGTCGACCAGCTGCCCTACTGCCTGCTCTACTCGGCCAGGGTGCTGCGCCAGGCGCTGCACGACAAGTTCCCAGAGGCGCCCGAGAAGGACGTGCTCAAGGTCAGTGTCGGGCTCCGTGACGACCAGTGGGTCAGAGTGGGTCCGGGACACTCCACCGGTGCTTGACACCAGCGGTCCCTGGTCCCGCCGGATCGTGATGCTCACGAGTCTTTGGTACCCTACGGTCGCTGGCCCCACACTCCAGTCCACAGATCCCTGGCATCCTCACTAGTGTTGGTCTCATCGTTTCCTCCCCTTCCCATCCCGGCGCCCTGCGTGTCGCATGACTTAGGCCCCCCGCCCGCCTGCCGGTCCCCGGCCGACGTCTACCGTTCCGCGCCGCTGACCCATTGTCTCGGCCGCCAGGTGGTCGGTAACCTGGTCTACTACCGGTACATCAACTCCGCCATCGTGGCGCCGGACGCCTTCGACATCGTCACGCTGCCGGCCGACCAGGCCATGACGCCCGACCAGCGCCGCAACCTCGGCAGCATCGCCAAGATCCTGCAGTTCGCCGCCAGCAAGAAGGGCTTTGGCGACGAGGCCGGCCACCTGCAGGCGCTCAACCCGTTCATTGTCAGCGCCCACGAGCGCTTCAAGGAGTTTGTGCGCGCGTGCTGCGCAGTGCCCGAGCCCGAGCAGCACTACGGCCGCAACGAGTTCACCGAGGCGACGCTGATGGCTCGGCCGGTGGTGTACGTGTCGGCGCAGGAGCTGTGCGACACCCACCGGCTGCTACTGGAGCACGAGGCGGCCGTGGCGCCGGCGCGCGACGACCCGCTCCACCAGCTGCTCGAGGAGCTCGGCGACCGGCCCAGCCTGGAGGGCGTACTGGGCGCCGACGAGGCCGGCCACCCGCACCCGGAGCGTGTCGAGGTGCGCCTGGAGCTGCATCCGCGCGCCGAGACCATCGACGACCACGGCATGTCGGCCGACCGGGTGTTCGTGCAGGCCAAGCAGCTGCTGGTGGACGTGATGCGCTGCACCGAGGACGCCGACGTGGCGGCGTGCGCGCGCTCCGAGCCCACTGAGCTGATGGAGCGCGCGTACCGCGCCGTGCTGCAGCAGCGCGGCGCGGCAGAGCGGCGCCGCCACGGCCACCAGCTGCTGTCCCGCAGCGGCTCCTTCCTGGCGCAGCCGTGCGCCTCGCTGGAGGAGGCCAAGGACGCGCTGCTGGAGCGGCTGCGGCTGCTGGAGGGCGCCGGCCGCGCGCACCGCGCCGACGACTACCGGCCGCTGCGCGAGGCCGTGGCCGCCGACATCGTGCACCAGCGCCGGCACCGGCAGCAGCGCCGCCACGAGCTGGTCAAGCTGCGCCGCACCGCAGACTCGCTGGAGAAGAAGCGCGCCTTCTACCAGGAGCAGGCGGCCTACTTCAGCCAGTACCTGGAGACGTGTCTGCAGGCGATGGCGGCCGGCCAGCGCACCAAGCGGGCGGCCGCGCCGCGACGCTACTCTGCCGCCCGACTCAAGGAGAAGGGCGTACTCATCAGCATCGAGGGCATGCAGCCGGCAGAGGTCAGTGGGGGCACTGGGCAGGTTACGTATCGATCCAGACTCAGGCCTCTGGCTGGGCCAGTACCTCTTGTTTCTTATGTATGTTATACTGTTGAAGAGCTTCCATCGCCTTTGGTTGTACGTCAAGTGTTCCCATGAATTCCCGTGGGAAAAACCCAGTCTGAAACCCGCACCAGTATCATTTACCGGCGTGTTCAGCTGAATGGGGGTGGGGTCCAGTTTTAAGATCTAGCCGCTGATATAATGGGGTTTCGGTCTGTCCTCAACTGAAAGGGCTGGTATAATGGGTCTGTGCAGTTCGCAGCTGGGGGGGGGGGGGAGGGGGTGTCTCGCCGCTGGTATAATGTGGTGCGTGTGCTGTCTACAGCTGTGTGAGGGAGGGATATCTCTCGCCGCTGGTATAATGCTGTATAATTGTTTTCAGCTGAAGGGTGTTCAGTTTGAGATCTCGCCGCTGGTATAATGTGGTGTATATTTGTTTTCAGCTGAAGGGTGTGCAGTTTGAGATCTCGCCGCTGGCCGCCGAGGGCACGTTCCAGGTGAACGCCAAACTGCTCGGCGTGCAACTGGAGCGGGTCGAGATCAGCCTACAGGTGAGCCTTCGTCCGCGCCCGTCATATCAGCGCAGTTTGACGGCGCCCGTCAGAACGTATACACTTACGGACGAGACCGCTGCATACCTGCTCTCAATTTCTGCCACCTCCAAGAGGTATCTGCCGTCCTTTACAAACGGGCGGCGTGTGTTACTGTTCACTGGGCCAGACTGAGGGCCGTGTGGGCGGGAACGCGCACCATACGACCGTACGGCTGCACGGCTAGTTATACGGCTGTTTGGCCGTACCTCCATAATGAGATATACCGACAGTGTCGTCTTTGCTGGGCAAAAAAGCAGACATAAATAAACAACGGCGGATTTTCAGAATTACGGAATCAGAATGCTCAGTTTTGTTTGTTTATTTGTATTTGTTTTTTTTTTTTTTTTTTTTGTCCGCGATCACCTCCCGGTCATACTGGCAGCGCTGGAGCGGCTGCAATGACACGGCGTGTCACCCTCCCCCCTATCCATCTGACAGGAGCTGCTGCAAGTTCACCCTCCCCCGTCCCCCTCGCCACCCCCACAGGAGCTGCTGCAGCTGCAGTACGACGGCGTCTCCGTCATGGACATGTTCGGCAGGGTGAGGATCAACGTCAACCTCCTCATCTTCCTCCTCAACAGCAAGTTCTACGGCAAGACCAAGAAGTGAGGCGCGGCGCCGTCGGGCCGGCGTGTGCCGCGACACCCGGTCGGGTCTGTGGGCCCTCCGCGCCTGTGTCACACGCCGTGACGTCAGACTCGGAGCCGCCGTCACACGCTGTCCACGGGGGCTGGTGCACAGCTGTACATATCTCCGAGCTCGGGAGCAGCTCCAGTCTTCAGCTTCCTCTATCCACTAGCGTTAGGGCGGCGACGGGGCGGTGTGCGGGTCGCGGATCCCGGGGCAGTGTCCGCTCCAAACCGGGTCCGTCCGGCCGTCTGCCAGCAGGGTAGTCACGAGCGGAACGAAATGGTGCTAATGGGACCACACCACATGTAGGTGCTTTATAGAATATGGCGTGTACGGCATTGTACGCGCCCGGCGGCTGCCTTTATGGGGTGTTATTTTACGACGATGGGTCCTTGTCACCACCGTCCTGCCGTCCAGCCATTGGCGTCTTGTAGCAGCTGACAATCAGAGGCCGGGGAAATGTGTGCAGCTGGGGGGACGGCAGCGCAGGTGTGTGTGTGTGTGTCTGTGTGACGTGTCACTGCGGCGAGTTTGACGCACTGACAGTAACTGTTGCAGCCGGGGGCGGACCCGCCGCCTGCACCGAACGGGTGGGACCGTCCGCCGGGGCACACGACTATTAATAAACAAAGCGTAATCTGTATTAAACACAAACAAATGAGATGCGATGGCGCGGGGTGGGCCGAGGCCGGCGGCCTACACTTCGTCCTCGTTGAGCAGCATGTTGGGAATGCCGTCTGTGACGGGGAACTTGCGGCCGGTCTCTGGGCACACCAGGCTGCCGTTCATCACCTCCACCTGCCGTCCGAGGTCACACAGGGTCAGAGGTCACTGGACGGTTCACACGGTCAGGGGTCACTGGACAGGACAAACAGGGTTAGAGGGCGAGTCAGGGGTCACTGGACAGGTCACATACGGTCAGGGGTCACTGGACAGCATATTTACGTCTGGACAACGAGTTGCGTTGGAGAGGCCGGAAATAGTGGCGATTTCAGGACCGCAAGAATGGACCGTCATTGGAATGATTCTTTTTTAAACTATGCAGTTTTCGGCCGGAATTTAATAGTTACTACAAAATATTTTGTAATTACGCTTCCAGCAAGAATGAATGCCATCAGGGCTAAGTTTTTACTACTTTTGCATTTTGTCAAGAAGCATATAGTGCTGTTATATTGCAGTTTTAGCGCGTTTGTTACAAAATATGAAGCGAATAAGCGTCAGTGTAATTCATCAGTGTCAGAAATTGACTTGAGGGGAAGCTATGCTAATTGCTTTTGTCCATCCACTAGAAGTTATTAAATATTTTGTTTTGTGTATTCCAAAAGGAGAGGGAACTTTTTTATTTGTGCCTTCATGTCTGAATTGAATGTAGACCATTAAATTTTCAAGGCAGCTTACAAACAAGCATTTGGTCTGTCTCGTATATAAGCAGTGGCTAAGAAGAAAAGGTTGATCAATCCTTAAGTTCAGTCATCGTACTTCCACTTGGCAGCAAGATCCCCAAGGACAGAGGATATATTGTATACCTGTCCTGTAAATCAAAGCATTTTTGTGCCTGCAAAGGCTTAAGTTCTTTGTGGTGTGTTCGGAGTGAGGCTATATGGCCGTTTTTGTTGTATGTTTATGTGGAGATTGAATATAACTGTGACCCTGTGCTTGTTTGTATACTTACTATGGTCAAACAGGGAACAGCACATTCACATAACATACTCACCTAGCACCTAACTCATAGCTGTACGTTGCAGGATCTGTACTTGTTCATGTCTCGAGCATTAACAAAGCACTAAAGTAGCTTAGTAATCATTTCCCACATTTTCTGAGCATCTAACATGACATACAGCAGTGCAGAGCAGCTTCAGAGAAGAAACACTTAAAATGCACAGACTCACACCAGCCACCCAATGAGCCAGTTCCTCAGTTGACTGTTTCCCTGGATGCAGCTTGGCAAGGTGAGCTAACTATAGGCAAGTTGAAGGTTAGCAGGTAAGATTGAGTTAGGGTGAGTACCTACCTATAACTGGGTGCTAAACTGTTATGCAGGTCTTGGGTAGGCTGCAAATATGTGTGACGATTGAGGTTAGGTCAGCTGTCAGGTTATTCAGGTATGTTCATTGCTCAGGTCACATTTTTATGGACACTTGGCAAATTAAAAAAAAAAAACTAACATAACCTAACCTAAGCTAACCCGACTAAACCTACACAACTGCTGACTATAGGAACTAAGCACCCACCTACTTGTGCCTACATCTCATACCATGTCAAAACTCAAAGTAGAGTTCCTTGGTGGAAGATTACCCTCAGTACTTTTTATCCCAGCCCTGTGAAGAAAACTAATACTTCTAAGCTCTGAGTCACTGCTGGCCATCCACACTCCACAGGAAGAAACGCTGAGACTGAGAGCTTTGCCATTATATATTGGACCAACAATCACTATCACGAATGACTATGAACACATTATATGATCACATCGTTGCATGGATTGTCACATTGACAATTTTATAACAATCCTTTTTTCAAGAAATACAGTAATGATTAATTTCAAAATCAACATAAAGTGGATTTAGTGATCCAAGCTTTTTCCTCCAGTAGCAATGGAATGATCGCATGTTTCATTTGCCAGACACTGAGTACCTGATGCACATATTACAATCTGCATAGCATCTAAGCAAAGTAAAAAAGCTGCCAAAGTCCATTCATTCTATGATTCTAGATTTTAAACTTGATAGTTAGCACTAATTTATCTTGCTGTTGTAAGTTATCATTCAATATTCATACCAATACATCAATATGCGCTCATCAGAGTTCAGACAATATTTTCTGGCATGATCCTGCTCAGCGCACTCTTCAGTATTGCTCCAAGATCTGCAATATTATAGCTTGTTTTCGGCCAATAAGCTCTTTTAATTTTACTTTTTCTTGCTGATATATGAGCCCGATCAACTTGTGTTTATCAACCAAAATTTCATAACTTCAAGTTCAGCTTGATATTGATATTGATATTGTTCAGGAGTCAGGACCTCTGTCAGCTTCCTGGATACTTCGGATTGTTTTCAGTCACATGCATGATATAAGTCAATCTTAAAGGGACCCTCCCACCTTCAAAAAAGTTAATGAATTGGCATGAAAGTGATGTCGCTCGGTTCAGAAAGAGCAAAAACGAATATCTACCAAATTTCATCGAAAAATATTCACCGGTTTTCAAGATATTATACTTTTACTTTTGTTTACTTTTTGGGATCTCCGCTGTTTCTAGCGACTTTATTTGAAAGTGCGGCATTTGTTGCGCGCAATGCAGCATATACCACCGCGTGCTACCAAACGTTTTAGTAAAAGATTTAAAAATCGTTAGATCTCCGCTGACGTCACAAATTCTAAGGGGGCATACCAATGCACTAGCCCCTTAGAATCCGAAAACTGCAAGTTTGAAATTCCATATCTCCGAATTAAAGCATTTGTCAATGTTGTGAGTGCCCAAACCGGTATTTGCAGGCCATGGCCACCAATTTGGCTATCTCAACTCAAAACTAATGTTAAGGTGGGAGGGTCCCTTTAAGGGATTCAAAACATCCAACAAAACGACGCACAAGAGTACGGAAACAACCAGATAAACTTAAAAAGCGCCTTGGAACAGAGCCAAGTGGTGCTCCATTTGTTTGTTTACAATGATTGTAGTGCTGATGTATTTTTAGGACTCTGAATGTCGGCTTATAAAAAATGAAACGTTTTTACAAAAGTTGTAAGGCAATTAATATTTATCTGAAAGAACTAAAATATTCAAAAGCCAAACACTATGAAATACATGAATTGGAACGAAAAAGTAGCCCCCAAATCCAGCCTAATTACCGGTTCCTAAAACTGCAACAAAAGCAGCACTTTTCCCCGCAACTCGTTGTCCAGACGTAAATATGCCACTGGACAGGATACACAGGGTCAGAGGCCGGTCAGGGTTCACTGGACGGGTCACATAGGGTCAGAGGTCACTGGACGGGTCACATAGGGTCAGAGGCCACCGGAACGCGGCGCCGGAGACTCGGGGACGGCACGGGGCGTCGGCGGCCGGTCACGGCGGATGGGGTCGCGGCGTCCGTACCAAGTCGCCGTGGAGATGCAGATTATGGTCTCAATGATCCATGTTATGCCGAGCAGTAAGCAGGGCTGAGGCCACAGACATTCAGGAACGGTCTCCATCGACACTGCCACCGAGCGTGTCGGGGGGGGGGGATGGGACGTGTCGAACCGTGGCTGCGACGTACGGGGGCGTCACACAATCGCCAGCTCAGTAGGGTTCACGGGAGTTTGGGGGTCGTAAATTTAAGGTCGCAACGTCGAGCCGTTTCAAAGGATGAAAAGAAACGCGAGGCCATTGAGGAAAACAGATACAGTTCAGTAGGTCTATGTCGACAGAAAGTTCGAGACAATCGTTAAGTACCAGGTGAAAAAAACATGCATATTGCATACATCTCGCAAAGTTTTCTGGGAGCGTGAGGTTGGGTTACCTCGAGGAGAACGTGGTGGGCTTTCTTCAGGAACCCCTCGTTCGTCTCGAAGTCCTGGTCCACCGCGCCGGGCAGGTCCCCTTTGTGACCGACCTGAAACGAATACTGGTTCAAAACCTGCCAACGTTACCAATTGAAGATGGGTTAGAAATACGGGATTTAATGTGTAGCATAGGTAACATAGCATAGATTCATGTTATCTATGGGTGTAGGCCTTGGTGATGGAGCAGGCGGTCCGTTGGGTGGCGTGGCATGCGGGAACTATTCTCTCCCAGGAGTAATTGCCCGGGTTACTTAGAGGCAAGACTAAGAGACGGGCAAAGTGCAAATCAATAGAGAATTGCCAACATCGAGTGGTGGGAACTGGGCATCAACGCGGGAGTGTGAAGGGAGTTGTGTAAAGCAATGGAAAATTGTAAGCATTTTTGCGGCGAACCACCGGTGGCTACACTTTTTATATGCTTGTGCCTCTGTAATCGTTATGCTGATTGTTTGGCATCCTTTTACTACTGTTGGTGATTGCAGGTGACTGCCATGAATGTGTCACAACAAGGTCGCGAAAGTTGGTACACTGCTAGACACCAGTTAAAAGGGTGGCTGGCATCCCACATGTCAGCTGGGGGAATTATGTCACACTTGCACATGTACAACTGCCTTAAGCTCTTGCTAGGTATTTAGGTATTCCCCTTAAAAAATTCCAATTGGGGTTTACCTCCTCAGCTGTTTTGCATAGCACATCCCAGTCCACTTTTGGAATGATTTTTGCAATGAAATCTGGGTTGAAGTCCACTTCTTGTACCTTGATGTCTTCTGGCTGTTGGAAAAAAATAGGGCTGAACAATGAGCATGAAAGGTCACACTGATTACCAATCTGAGCAGAGGTCTATGCTGCAATACAATTATTACAAAAAGTAGCTCGGTTATTAGAATGATTGATAAACAGAGCCAGAGCCTATGCAAGGCAGAGCTCATTGTGTGGGCCCAGACCCCTCCTGTCTGAGAAATCAGCATGCATTTCTAGGTAGGAACCCAATAGAATTTGGGCACCATCCTGTAATAAATGAGCTATGAGACAGGCTTCTCCTGTTTAAAACAAACACACATTTTAATGCATACACAAGTTTGATGGTTAAGAGTTAAGACTTAAGAATAGCTGGTATCATACTCAAGGACAGAAGAGTACATAGTGCATTCTTATGTTCACATTGTGAGACATTTATAGCTTCAAATACATTTGTACATTCTATTCTATAGGTAGGTACTTGTACTAGGAACATATAATTAACCTCTCCTGAAGATTCTGGATTGCTTCAAATCACAATCAGAAATCAGAAACCATAAAACTTTTGGCAGAAAAAACTTTTGTTATCCACTAATGAAACGTGGTCAGCATGTACTCATCAATCATTCACCTTGACCCCCACCTAGTTAAAAGCTCATTCTGAATTGCTCTCTATCTAACACATAAGCCTTGCTGTCTTCGCAGCATTCAGCTGCAGTTCCTCAGAACAAGAACACCCCTCGCGGCTGGTGTTCGGCTTTTCGTGTCGCGGCTTTTCCTTTAAAGGCATTAATAAGCATAGCCATCATGGCACATACATCAACATAGACATGCTTTATGGCTGGTCGAACACAAATGCTCAATGGCTCAATGGTCTCGCATAAATCCTTACCGAATTGATGGAAATGATAAGGGGATAGCCGGTTACGACATTCTTCAGACATTTTGACGTTAGCATGTTGTGAGTCAACAGCTTCATGATTGCAAATCCTGGTTGATGATGAATCAATTCGCTTAGAATCTCAAGCGCACAGTCTAATTCTATTAACTTGAATCAGAAGCACATCCCCACGTCATCAACACCCAACACCCAAATGCAACACGCAAGCAACACGCAAGGGCAACACGCGTGCGCGGCGTGTGCAAGGTTGGCGGGGAGTCCGTACCTCTGTTCTATGCCAACCCCTTCTATCGCTATCCAATTCGGAGTTGCCATGACAACCGTAACTAAGTTCTGAATTCTTTCATTAGAAGGTATTTTTTAAAGAGCTTGCCCACAAAAAGCAACGAAATGAACTTTTTGTTATCAATCATATCAAGTTGTCCTAATAAGTCTCACTTCACAAAGCAGACACGTCAGATCACAAGGCAAAAAGGAACTTGGGTAACGACCTAACCGAACAGATTTCGACGGCATCGACGGCATCGATGCATCGATGATAATGGAGCACGTATGGTTTTTTGATGACGTAGATAAATTGGTGATTGAAAGTTTTGTTTCTTATCAACTTTTAATGATAATTTCACATCATAGTTGCTATTTCAAAAAAAACTTTTGGGTAATATGTCATGGTAAAATTAGTCTAATTGTGCATATTAGTTAAAAGCTTTATACATCAGACTTGGAAATGCTTTTTGTTTGATATTGAAACAAGAGCGCAGGAATCGTATAGCAACCACAAGCAGCACACAAGCGGGGCCCAAGCGGGGGAGAGCTGAGAAGAGGGGGAGCTGTGATACAAAGCGCTTGAATTATCAAGAAATCAGTACTTTTGCTTAGGTGTATCGTCATATGAAATTATCTCATTTGAGCATTTATTGTCGCTAAAGCAAAATTTACAGTGAATGGGTATGGATGATTCAGCAGCGATCTAGTCAAAGACCAAAGTGTTGATGCCTTTTTATTGTCCAGATTTTCTGTTGCTATATTTCAGTTTGTTATATTACTTAGGTCAAGATGTATATCAAGAACTGCATCTTAATTCTTATCATATGGACAACATCATCATCGGGACGCATCCATGAGCTACAATTGGAGGTGTGTTGCAAAGTGCAAAGCCAGTTGGGCAAACTAGTCTTCTGTAATCAAAAACTGGAGGCAACAAAATTGCTTCTTTATGACCATATTTGGGCATAAATGTTGACTGTTTCTTAATCACCAATCATCTAGAAATAAGCCAGTGTTTCAAGAAAGAACGGTATTAGTAAGCCTGGTGTCCCAGGAAGATGCCATATTGGGACGACAGATATATAAACCAAAACAAACCTAACCTGACCTGATCTAACCTTACCTACAACCCTACAACCTACAAACCTGCAACATACCCTACAAACCTACAAACCCTCAACCTACAACGGCCTACAACGGTATCTTGCATCTTCCTGGGATGCCAGGCTTACTTATACAAGAGGAACATGCCTAATGTTGAACAGAAATGTTGGAACTCTTTACTGAGTACAAGAATATTGTTTTAATCATAGTAATCTGACTTTTGAGGGGTAGTAAAAGACATAAGGGTAGTATTTTGATTCTAGAAGTCTAGTTTGCCCAACTGAAGCTGGCATTCTGGACAAGACCTCGGCGCGGAGGCACTCAGGTGATAAGCGGTTATGATTGACTGTGGTGCAGTGCAGATTTTGCATGGAGTGGTGTTGCCCTAATGTATTACTGGGCTACATACCTCTGCTGAAGTCCCTAATTCAGATACCTATTACCTATCAGACAATAAGTATTTCTATTCTAATTAGTATTCTCATTTGTATTCTCCTAGTGAAACCTGTGCTGAGCAAGGAAAAATGTAGCATCGAGTTACTGATCAATTGTGTTCAGCTCAAGTTAACTAATCATATTCTTATCTTTAGTCCTTAACCCGGCAGGCGGTGGGCCTACCAGCCACCTTCCGCGCGGTGGGGGGGCAGTGCTGGAAATGAGGCCGCTTTCTGGTCCCGGCGTTTTATTCTCCGGGTGGGTTACCCCCATCTAGCGCGTAGCCTTCCGGGACCCACTCAGGGTCGCGGTTGTTTTTGCCGCTCGCCCCAGTCGAGATGCAAAATTAATAGTCAAACGAAGCTTATTTAGGGCCAGCCAAACCAGTCTAGTCTGGAGTTACTGTTAAATGTATGCATATTGATGAAAGAAAAAGGTTTTGTAGTATCGATTAATTTCGGAGTCGTATATTCAGATGCCCCAAATAAACTTCGTGTGACTATCAACTTTGCATCTCGAATGGGCCGAGCGGTGAAAAACAGCTGCGACCCTGAGTGGGTCCCGAAAGGCTAAGCGCTAGATGGGGGTAACCCACCCGGAGAATAAAACGCCGGGACCAGAAAGCGGCCTCATTTCCAGCACTGTGGGGGGTGGCATTTTTGCCCCCCCCCCCCCCGTATCTCCGAAACTACTGGACGGATCCGGAAAATTCAAACGGCGTTCGATAGCCCTGTCAAATTTGTCGAAGGAAACCAAATTTCATTGACCTCGGGGTCACTGATGACGTCACAGGTCAGGTCAAAGATAAAATGTTTCACCGTTCACTGTGCTTCTAGGGAAAGCACTATAACACCGGGTAAAACGCATTTTGTCGAAAATCAGCGGTAAGGCGTCAGTTGTCTAGTACATATGTTGCTATTCGAGGCCACTGGTCATACCAGGTCAGGTCACAGGTCAGGTCACCAAGGGTCACCACATGAGCCCAACTTTACTAAGGTTATGTGATGCATGTTTTATGGCCAGTTTTTCATTTCCAACTCAATGGTGTTGGTTATAAGACCATCAGGTGCAGTTTAGGTCACTTTCTGGTGGAGGTCAGGTCAAGGTCAGGTCAAAAAAGGTCAAATTTCAAAGTTGATATTTTTGGATAAAATGGGTATCGTTTCGATGCAGCTCGTCACGGGGAGTCTAATGGTGGTCTTTGTTTTGCGCTACGAGGTCTAGAATTGCTAAAAATTGAGTTTGAAAATTTGACGTCATCAATTTTGAACAGTTTTTTTCGCTATAACTTGGCCAAAAAAAAAGAGGTATCGATCTCAAATTTGGTATGTAGATAGAAGGCGGTAGGGACTATCACATATATTCCGGTTTTTTCGAAATTCAAAAAACTTTTTGGATTTTTTGGCTATTATATTCAAAAAATCTATTTTTTATTTTGGGGGTCAAAATAAAAAAATTCGAAAAACCGAAATAGCAGTTTTGTAGCCCTTTTGATTCCACACCTTTTATGTCTAAAACATTTTTCTGTATCTCTAAAGCTGTAGGCCTGACAGCTCTTCCCGCGAAACCTTTTTTTGGGTCGAAAATGGCAAAAATGACGTCACTCTGACGTCATTAGCGGCCAACCTATCATAGCCTTTGGAAAAATTTTTGGTCACCATGTGCGCTAGCTGCTCTCGGGAGGGTACTGAAAGTTTGGTGACGATCGGCGCAGCGGTTCTCGAGATATATCGAAAAAGCAAAAGGGGGGGGGGGGCAAAAAAATGCCCCCCCCCCACCGCCTGGAAGGTTAAATGAAATATACCACTGGCACTTTCCTCAATTTACTTTTTTGCTGCAGTTTTATATCTTTTTGCATAAAATTATCAGAAAGGAATTAGGAAATAATGAATATTTTAAAAAGGAATTTGAAGTATTTTCATATAGGAAGAACTATTTGCGATCTTTGGTGGAGGCTAGATACTAGATAGTGCTGGCAACTGAAGCTTATTATGTGACAACCAGTGCGGCTAAATTCATTTTACGTTAGGGGGAGCATGTAGAAAAAAAAGCCGGAAAGGATGTCGTTATTTTCATAAAACTTGACTTCGACCCTTTTTAAGCACCGTTTTCATATATGTGACGATGTAGAGATGTAAATGATGTAGAAATATTAAATACTGATAAATTTTTGAAGGCATTCTGATATTCGGGATGTTAAATGAGGTTTTTAAGTCGGCTCATAAATTTGAACATTTCGGTTATTCGAATGGTTGTCTTGGTGTCTTGTGAGAGTTTGCAAAGTTCGTGTTTCTCCTGCTCCTAGACGTTTGGTTTCGAGGTTATATTATAAGTTGTGACTGCGGTGAGGATGTTTTTATTTATATTTTTAGGTCATTAAACTTTTCATTATGGGTGAATTTCCCCGCAACATTACAATTTTGGACACACTGGTGACAACCTACAATATTACCCACCAAGTTCAAAACAAGTGCATGCTGATTGGTTGACAATTGGAATCTGCCACAGGTGGCTGCATTCTTGGCATCCTTTCATAAGGGAAAATTGCTGTGTAAAGGAATAACCGAAGGTTTGTTGTCAATAGTTAAAACACTATTCTTTAGAATTGTGTTTTTCTATTGAAAAACAAATCTGAGTTCCCTGACAAATTGGCTGCCTGAGATCAGTACAACTTGATGCTCTTGAAAACGGCTGCTCCAAAAATTCTGATTTTTTCAGGATTTCTAGTGGGCCAGGTGGCAGGTGATCTACGTTCTGGTATGGGTATCCCCTCCGCGGACAATCTGGTGCACGTGCCACGTGACTTTGAAAATTCCCGTGTTAAGCCAATGGGCACAATGAAAAAATGCGTTCCACGGCAGATTGCTCGAAAACGATCCAAACGACCCCCCATTTTCTTACATGCGGATCAACCACCATTCGGTGCTCTACCCATGGGTATGTCGCAAAGTGGCCGGAAAAGTCCAGAACCACGTGCCACGTGCCGTTGAAAATGACCCTGCACACCGGAAATTTGGACTTTTGGTCATTTCAGCGCACCCATGATGCATACTATGGCGTGGGTGACCAAAAAATGGGTGTCATCCGATCGGCAACTGTTTAAGGTGTCGTCCAGTGGGTCAAAGTGGTAGTTTCAAACTTTTGGGATCCACCATTCTGGGGATTCTTTTTGACAATATACTTACGTTTCTTGGCGCAATGTTCATTCCACCCAGCCGGTCGTCAATGCGTTAGGTGACCCAAATGACGATTGACCTGAAGGAAGTTGGGGGCGAGGAACACGCACGTGCCATCCGTTTTTTAATTGGGCGCTTTCATCTAGGAGATTTTTGCAGATATCTTTTTGATTTGTGAAAATGACCAAAAAGCTGAATCTCTGCAGAATCCTAGCGGTATGCCAGTCGTTGATAAATTATTATCTTGCTGCGGCCGGGCGCTTATTTGCGGTGTTTGCATTTGCGACTTTTAGTCGTTTTCGGTTAGCAGTTAGCGTCGGTGCGATGCGGGCGGTCTTATTTTTTTTCGGCGTTTCGGCGTTTTTTTTTTGTGGTTTGCGGCGGTCGGGCGATTTTTTCCTACGTTTGCGTTGGCGTTTCGGGCGTGCGTTTTGCACGTTTTGCGGTGTTAACGTTTTGCGGCGGGCGGGCGTTTTATGTTTTTTTTTTGCGGTGCTTGTCTTTGGCGGCGGGCGGGCGGGCCGGCGATGCGGGCGGTTTTCTTTTTTGCGTCGTTTGCGGTGTTAAATTTGTTTGCGGCTGGCGGCCGCTTTTTCGTTTTTTTTTTGCGGTGTTTGCTTTTGGCGGCGGGCGGGCGATTTTTAGGCGTTTTCGGTTGGCGGTTAGCGGGCGTGCGATGCGGGCGGTTTTATTGTTTTGCGGCGTTTTCGCGTTTTTTTTATTTGCGGTTTGCGGCGGGCGGGCGTTTGTTTATTTTTTGCGACGTTTGCGTTGGCGTTTCGGGCGTGCGTTTTGCGCGATTTGCGGTGTTTGCGTTTTGCGGCGGGCGGGCGTTTTTCACAATTCAAAGTCCAAACCTTCGGGCCACAGCGCTCCTCGAAAAGCGCTGCCCTCGAGTAATTTTGGAATGAGAAATGTGATGATCAATGGGCCATAAAAACTCCTCATGTGCTAGTCCCAGCTCAAGCTATAAAACTCCTATTTCAGTTCAAAATGACATGTTAAAACCTAAAGGTGATATATTTCTTTTAACAGTCTCCTAACCATATGCTCCTTACATGTTGTCAGCTGTTGTGCAGACCTGTTGTCAGCTGGTGCAAATTATTATGCAGCTAAGTGACATCATGAGAGACTTCATAATTTTTGGTGGAAGGCAAATATCCTAGGTAAGGTAACTAAACTAGGTTGGGTAAAGTTAGGTTAGGTTAACCTGTGCCTGGATGGAGGTCTCAGCCGACTTAAACTGAGTGTGTGTGTGGGGGGGGGGGGGCATATTTGGCCACATCCAGTTATCTCTCATACTGCAAGACGTGACAAATCTTGAGGGGTTTTACACCAAAACCCAAGCCCCACCTTGGGACACTTGACAAAAGCTGAGAGGTCACCAGGTTGGCCTGACCCTTGAAATTGGACACCAGTCGCTGTGTCTCGTGATGGCGCATATGCTCGTTTTTTCCGCGAAGCTCTAGCTCAGCTAGGAACGAGAAGGGCAAAGGGGTGGGGTCTCATCCCAAGGACAGATGAAATTGGACTGTAATCGCCACGCCCCGTGTGGATTGTCCATGATTGTAATACATACATACCATACATACATACATACAAGGCCGTACAGAGAGTGTCGTCCGTCCGTGTCCGTGTCTTATCCGAGGCTGCAAGGTGGGTGATAGATAGCATCATCGCCAGTTGTGACAGCAGCTGATGCAGTCATGCTGCCGAACACAGCATGAAGGGAGTGTCGGAGAAGACCAACCCATCCCCGTGCGAGTATGCCGCTGTCCCAAACCACTCACGGGCGATGATTAATAGATGTTCTTTTTTTCAGCACGACTACCGCCGCTTCTTTCCGCTGAGCACCTTCGGCTTTCTAACTGGAGGCGATCTCACCGTCAACATCTCTTCGTTCCAAGTTGATGATTTATCGGGAGTGGTAAGTCGCTCAGCAGGCGATCGTAAGTTTCGGCTGTGGGGATGTTCGTTTGTCTGTCCCGGAGATGTACTCGGACGGTGTCGTTTCCGTTGTGGTCGGCTTCTGCCTGACTCGCCGCGCTGCCGTCCGCGGCCCTGACGGCTGTGTGCTCTCTGTGTGTGTCCGGCAGTACGGGTTCACCCTGGACCGGACCATGAGTGACGCCGTCAACCCCTACCTGGACGGCCACATGAGCCACTGCACGCTGTCGTCGCCCATCACCGGCCAGGACACGAGCGCCGCCATCATCTACTTTACCTTCGACCTCAAACAGAAACGGTCAGTATCGAGCTCAAACAAACCCAAACAGAAACACAGTGCAAACAGAACAGAGACAGTCAGTGCACGGCTCACTGAAACAGAAACGGTCGGCGCAGGACCGGGAACGGCTAGTGCTCACGCTCTCATCGAACACAGCGACATTCGGACATGGGCTGACTTAGTGCTCGCTTATTGCCATCGGTTGGTCTGGGCAATCATTGAGATTAGGCAGACTAATTGTCCGGCGCTCCTACGCTTATCTGCCTCATCGTCCGCGCCGAGCGGCGAGCTGCGTGCAGCAGTGGGCTGACCTTTTCCACTTCCCCTCCACTCTCTAGTATTTGGTCTCTGGTTATGTGCCGACGCCGACGCCCTTCCTGTTTTAGCTCGCAGTGTCTGACCCCCCCCCCCCCCTCCTGCTAGCCCTGGACCCTGTTCATGAACTGCGGTCAGCCGGGTTGTTGCGTCACGAAAAGGGGCGGGGCTCATGTAGTATGACGAATGTATGACGTCACCTTGCTGCGGCCGCTGCAATCTCTGCGGCCGTAATCCAGCGACCGCCGAGCCGCAAGAAAACTAATTGCACTGAACTTGGCGCACTGAAGTCAAATAGGCGCAAGTCGTGTTGTCATGGAGACGATTTTGTAAACAAAATATCTAGTGGTGTGCGTCAGTTGTAAACAATTGTCGGAAACTATTTCGGCAGCAGACGCTGTTCATGGAATGCTGCTGCGGCCGAGTGAGTGATGACGTTTCAAAAATGGGCGGGGCTTAGAACTAGAGGTGGCAAAATGTGGACCCGAGGACCCGGTCCAAAGAACCAGTCTAGACCCATATGGGTCCAGACCGGTTCCTGGAAATTTTTCTGACGGGTCCAACTGGGTCCTACCATAAACTATACATCTTGCACACTACACATTATTACAAAATATGAAGGGAATTAAGTGAATGTTTCTTTGCACACAATAGCTCATGAGTATTCCCAGTGGGAAATAGGCTGTTTTACATGATGCAACTAATGATTCCTACAAGTAGTTTGTATTAATTGACTTTTGGGAACGGGTCCAACTGGTTCCGGTTCCAACTAAGACCGGGTCCGACTGGTTCCAGAAATGTTCAGCCGGGTCTGGTTCGAGTCTGGTTCCCAAAATTTTCATCTTTTGCCACCTCTACTTAGAACCTGCGGCCGGCCGCAGCGACCGCAGACTTCATGAACAGGGCTTCTGTTCTCTCACAGTGTCCCGCTGATATGCAGTCGCAGTGTGTGACCTGCCCTTCCCGTTGCATCTCACAGTGTCCTGCTGAACTGCAGTCGCAGTGTGACCGACATTGTCATCGAGACAGACTCGTCGCGCGCCTCCGATGACGAGGCCCGCAGCAAGCGCGACTCACTACTGGGCGCACTGGCCGGCTCGGCGCTCTACAAACAGCGCCACCGGCGCCTGGCCGCCGCCGCGCCCACCGCCGCCGCCGGTACGTGTGGCTGTATGTCCCGTGTACCGCTGGGGCTGGGTGATCCGTGTACCGCTGTGACTGGATGACCCGTGCACCGCTGGTACTGGGTGACCCGTGTGTACAGCTGTGTGCCGCTGACGCCGCACGGTCTTTTCAAAGTGCGTGTGGAGTAGCATATGACTTTTTGTTGTTTGTGTTGCAAAGTGTGCCTGTGTCTGTGTGTTCTGCTTGTGACCAGTTTGTGTACGTGCCTGTGTGTAAAACATCAACCGACGGTCCGCGGTGCCGTTTGCACCGGAGCTGGCCGCTATGTCAGCATCGGTAAGACCTGTGTGTACTGTGTATGCATCTGTGGGTACTGGGTATGTGTGTGAGTGTCCCGGACCCCGGTACACTCTGTGACGGTCCCGCGGTACCGACAGCGGTGTGAGCTGTGTCTATGTAGTCTGTGTTTATCAGTGTCTGTATGTGAGTGTCCTGGTACACTCTGTGACGGTCCCGCGGTGCCGGCAGCGGTGTAACCTTTGTCTCTGCGTGGCAGCAGCTCTGTGTGTGAGTGTCCCGGTACACTCTGACGGTCCCGCGGTGCCGGCAGTCCCGGAGCCGGCCGCTATGTCAGCATCGGTAAGACCTGTGTCTGTATGCATCTGTGGGTATGTGTGGAGTGTCCCGGTACACTCTGTGACGGTCTCGCGATGTCGGCAGCCCCGGAGCCGGCGGCGGCGATGCCGGGCCAGCAGCGGTGCGCCTCGTTTGCGCCCATTCTGCTGCAGCAGCGCACCGACAACGCCACCGGCCAGCCCGTCTTCAGCACCGCCGTGAGTTCGGCCGGGACCCCGCGGCGCCTCTGGGGGCGGGCGGTACGGTGTGGGGTCGGGCCGGGACCCCGCGGCGCTCGAGCCGGCGGCGGGGTGTGGGGGACGGGACCGACGCGTATGGGTGTCGGTGTGGACTGTGTGGTGAGGGCTCGATGGATTTTCACACAAAGGAACAATAATTGATGTACAAGAGTTTAATAGTCGGTGACGAGAAAATTGGTATCAGAAAATGGGTTCGTACGCTGCGCGTAAAAAGGAGGTGCCATTGGGGGGTCACTGCTGAGAGCTCACCGTCTCCACGTGATTGGTGTTTCAGTTTGTGATCCGCGTGCTGTCTCACGGCGGCGAGGGTCTGTACAACCTGTTCTTCCACAACTGCCAGAACTACGGCAGCCAGAAGGTGGAGGCCAGCATGACGGTGAGTGCCGCTCTGCAGGCCGGCAGGACGGCGAGTGTGGCTCTGCGGGCCGGCAGGACGGGGAGTGCCGCTCTGCGGGCCGGCAGGACGGTGAGTGCCGCTCTGCGGGCCGGCAGGACGGGGAGTGCCGCTCTGCGGGCTGGCAGGACGGAGAGTGCCGCTCTGCGGGCCGGCGGGACGGTGAGTGCCGCTCTGCGGGCCGGCAGGACGGTGAGTGCCGCTCTGTAGGCCGGCAGGACGGCGAGTGCCGCTCTGTGGGCCGGTAGGACGGGGAGTGCCGCTCTGCGGGCCGGCATGACGGTGAGTGGGACTCTGCAGGCCGGGGGGACGGGGGGTGGGACCCTGCGGGCCGGCAGGACGGTGAGTGCCGCTCTGCGGGCCGGGGGACGGGGGTGGGACCCTGCGGGCCGACAGGATGGGGAGTGTGCGGCCGGCCAGAGAGTGGCGGCTGGCGGCGGCCACAGGGCGAGCTGAGTCGGTGCCGAGTGGCGTCTGGCGGCTCAGCTCAGCCGCTGTGTGGTGTGGGATGGCTAATTGTACGCTCTCTGTGCCGCGGTCGAGTCGCCCACCTCTGTCCGTCCGTGCGTCTGTGGCCGCTCCCCTCTGGCCGCTGTGTCTGTGTGTGTGTACTGCCCCATTCGGGCCCTGATCAGTCTGTTTGGCCGCCACTCCCCTCTGACCGCTGTATGTGTGCTGGCCCCCGTCTGACTGTGTGGCCGCCACTCCCCTCTGGCTGCTGTGTCTGTGTGTGCTGGCCCTCGTCTGACTGTGTGGCCGCCACTCCCCTCTGGCCGCTGTATGTGTGCTGGCCCTGGTCTGACTGTGTGGCTGCCACTCCCCTCTGGCCGCTGTATGTGTGCTAGCCCCCGTCTGACTGTGTGGCCGCCACTCCCCTCTGGCTGCTGTGTCTGTGTGTGTGTGTGTGTGTGTGTGTGTGCGTGCGTACTGCCCCACCGGGCCCTCATCTGACTGAGTGCGCCGCCACTCCCCTCTAGCTGCTGTGTGTCTGTGTGTGCTGGCCCTCGTCTGACTGTGCGCCGCCACTCCCCTCTGGCCGCTGTGTCTGTGTGTGCTGCCCCACCGGGCCCTGATCAGTCTGTGTGCGTGCCACTCCCCTCTGGCCGCTGTATGTGTGCTGGCCCCCGTCTGACTGTGTGTACACCACTCCCCTCTGACTGCTGTGTCTGTGTGTGCTGGCCTCCGTCTGACTGTGCGTGCCACTCCTCTCTGGCCCCGCTGTGTCTGTGTGTGCTGGCCCTCGTCTGATTGTGCGCCGCCGCCCGGCAGGTGGAGATGATCGAGCGCAACATGGACAGCTACCTGTCGGCCGGAGAGATGCCGCTGCCGGCGCTCTACTTCATGATGGCCGTCCTCTTCTTCATATCGTCCTGCTTCTGGATCTTCATACTCAGGAAGAGCAAGTGGGTGGCGCGGGACACCGTGTCGGGCTCGTATACACGGAACTAAGCCGTCGGTCGTGACGTGGATGGACCGCGCAGTCGGCGCCTAATCTGTCCGGACAGTGACCCTCCCCCCCCTCGGCCTCACAGACTGGCCCTCCCCGTCCCTAGGCTGACACACAAACTGACCCGCCGCCCTGTCCTGGTGTGCCACATAGACTGACCCACTGCCTGCCCTCTATGGTCGACAGCCGGGCGGACGTGTAAGTACAAGACGTACTTCGTGACATAGACTGCCCCGCTGCCCTGGTGTGCCACATAGACTGACTCCCTCCCCTGCCCTGGTGTGCCGACAGCCGGGCGGACGTGTACAAGACGCACTACGTGATGGCCGTGCTGGGTCTGATGAAGGCGCTGTCGCTGCTCTTCCACGGCATCAACTACCATGTCATCGAGGTCAACGGGTTCCACATCGAGGCGTGGGCCATCCTGTTCTACATCACCCACCTGTGAGTAGACCCCCCCTCCAGAGACCATTCTGCCCCCCCCTTCCCGCTCTGGCCATCAGGCTTGTTGTTCGATGTGATCGTAGCATTTGATATTATCTCCATCTGTATATGTCCGTAAATAGCATTGGTCTTTGTGAATCAGACGTGCTAAATGGGATGGCAATTAAGTGTGGTCTCCGGTTGGTGAACAGTTAGTATTGGTAGAAACTGCAAGGCAGCAGACTGATTCACCCCCCCCCCCCCTCCTGTTGGTAACTACCCGGGTTGACTGTCCCGCTGACACGGCTGACCCCCCCCCCCCCCCGTCCCTGCGGCGGCCGGCAGGATGAAGGGGGCGCTGCTGTTTGTCACCATCATCATGCTGGGCACCGGCTGGACGTTCATCAAACACGTGCTGGCCGACCGCGACAAGAAGCTCTTCATGATCGTGATTCCGCTGCAGGTGGGTCCGGCGCTACCGGCGCGGCGACTCGGCCGGCCGCGCGCACCCTGTCTGTCCCCCCGTGAGCCGGTGTGGACCCTGTCTGTCCCCGTGAGCCGGTGTGGACCCTGTCTGTCAGCCCGTGAGCCGGTGTGGACCCTGTCTGTCACCCTGTGAGCCGGTGTGGACCCTGTCTGTCACCCCGTGAGCCGGTGTGGACTGTGGACCCTGTCTGTCACCCGTGGGCCGGTGTGGACCCTGTCTGTTAGCCCGTGAGCCGGTGTGGACCCTGTCTGTCAGCCCGTGAGCCGGTGTGGACCCTGTCTGTCACCCCGTGAGCCGGTGTGGACCCTGTCTGTCACCCCGTGGGCCGGTGTGGACTGTGGACCCTGTCTGTCACCCGTGGGCCGGTGTGGACCCTGTCTGTCCCCGTGGGCCGGTGTGGACCCTGTCTGTTAGCCGGTGAGCCGGTGTGGACCCTGTCTGTCAGCCCGTGAGCCGGTGTGGACCCTGTCTGTCAGCCCGTGAGCCGGTGTGGACCCTTTCTGTCACCCCGTGAGCCGGTGTGGACCCTGTCAGTGTCCCCGTGAGCCAGTGTGTCCCGGTTGTCCTGAAAGAGTCAGTGTTCGTGTGTCCCTACCTGTCTGTGGGTGGTTGTTGACGGTAACGGGCGGTGCTCGTCTCCTGTGAGCCGATGCGACGTGTTCCCGCCTCTGCCGGTCGGTGCTGACGTTTTCGGTCGCTGCTCCCTCTCACAACTGTTGGAGTGTCTGTTCTCCGTGAGCTGTTGCTGATGTTCTCGGTCGTTGCGGACAGCTGCTGTCGGTCTGTTCTCTGTGACCCGGTGCTGACAGTTACGTTTGTTGCTCGCCGCCGACAGCTGCTGGCGTGTCTGTCTGCCCCCTCTGTGAGTCTGTATTCCCCTCTGTGAGTCTGTATTCCCCTCTGTGAGTCTGTATTCCCCTCTGTGAGTCTGTATCCCTCTGTGAGTCTGTATCCCTCTGTGAGTCTGTATCCCTCTGTGAGTCTGTATCCCCTCTGTGAGTCTGTATCCCCTCTGTGAGTCTGTATCCCTCTGTGAGTCTGTATCCCCTCTGTGAGTCTGTATCCCTCTGTGAGTCTGTATCCCCTCTGTGAGTCTGTATCCCCTCTGTGTGAGTCTGTGTCCCCTCTGTGAGTCTGTATCCCTCTGTGAGTCTGTATCCCTCTGTGAGTCTGTATCCCTCTGTGAGTCTGTATCCCTCTGTGAGTCTGTATCCCCTCTGTGAGTCTGTATCCCTCTGTGAGTCTGTATCCCTCTGTGAGTCTGTATCCCCTCTGTGAGTCTGTATCCCTCTGTGAGTCTGTATCCCCTCTGTGAGTCTGTATCCCCTCTGTGAGTCTGTATCCCTCTGTGAGTCTGTATCCCTCTGTGAGTCTGTATCCCTCTGTGAGTCTGTATCCCCTCTGTGAGTCTGTATCCCTCTGTGAGTCTGTATCCCTCTGTGAGTCTGTATCCCCTCTGTGAGTCTGTATCCCCTCTGTGAGTCTGTATCCCCTCTGTGAGTCTGTGTTCCCTCTTTGAGCTGCTGTTGACGCTCTCGCTCGCTGCTCGCCGCGGACAGCTGGGGCATTCCACGATAGATCGTACCACTTTTTTCCAATTTGACACCCTCATCTCTCGGAATTTGACGAGAATTGGTCTCAGGGGTAATCAGGGGCTCTGAATCCACCTGTAACAATTTCAGGCTAATCAGATAAGCATTTTTTGAGTTATGGTGTATAACATTTTTTGGATCTTGCTTTGCAGCGCTAAGTTTGGCGGGCTGTAACTCTAAGACGGATTATTCAAATGCCAAATGTTATATAACATTGAACTTGCAATGAAACAGAGATTAATGTGTATTTTTGAAATTTCGAAAAATACGCTATTTTTGATATATGACATATCGAGTTTTCTTTCATTTGTATTTTTTGGACTTTGGGACCAACTTTTTTTGAATTTTTATATCTTTAAAAAAATATGTGGCTCATTGTTAAGAAGTATGCCAAAAATTAGGAAGGTGTTCTTTCTATAAATGTATTTATTTTACGTCACGATAACGGTTTCGAATAGTGATTTCGGGAGGGAGCTTATAAATGGCGTGGTAAAGCTGCCTAGTGACATCACGGGTTACTGAAATTTCAATTTAAGTCTGAGTCATCTGAAAAAAGTGAAAAGAGGGTTCATCCAACCCTCTTTCCTATAAGCGCGAGGGTGAAAAAGGCTGTTTGGTTCTGACTTAGATTTGGACGCCAATGACCATAGCTGTCCGAGATGAAAGTTAAGGACGCATGCATGGTGTCCTCCAGAGGTCTCACAACTTGTATATGTGGGAATTTTTCAAGGTTACATGAGGTCAGGTCGGTCACGTGACACCACTGTTATAAATCAATGGGAAAATATAAAAACTGTTATTTTGGCGCCGAGAATGATCTAAAACTATCCCACGTACATGGTATCGTGATTTCATGCACTCCTTGCAAAGTCCAATGCTTTACTTTTGCGTTGTTAACCTTGCGTGACGTCATTTATGACGTCACTAGGGTCGTACGAGTTTTTCGTCAATAACTCCCGATCAAATGGAGCTAGAGAGTTGGGAAAGCCACCAATGGACTCGGGAAGACCTTCCGAATCGAATGATATGCCATATGATACCCTTTGCCCAGCTTCGTGACCTGAGGGGCTCTGACCCGACCTTGACCCGAGGTCAACTACTTAAGTTGACCTTACCCTAGCAAAAAGTATACCATTCGATGCACCTGAGCTAGGCGAACACAATGATGCCAAAATCGCGGCTCTGCGGCCATTTTTTGCGAAGTTATTTACTAAAAACCGAATTCGTAACTTCAGTCACGTGACCTGACCTCAGACGCTACCGGTTGACCTGAGACCTTAAAATCGGGTACCAATCGCTGCGACTTGTAACGGCACACACGCTCGTTTTTTCCGCGAGGCTCTAGCTCTATTAGAAGCGAAACGGCGTGCTGGGGTCGTATCAACCCCTCCGAAACCCATTTTGTTTGCGGGAAAATGAGGAACTTATAGCAAGAACACCTTTCTAGTTTTTTGCATGTCGATTTGCAATGACATGAAGATTATTTTGAAAAAATAAAATGTGAAAAATTTTGGTCCCAAAAGTCATTAGAGGCAAATGAAAAAAGATTAAGGGTTTTGCTCAACAATGAATTTTTTTCTTTGGAATTTTTAAATAGTAATATTAATTTTTGATTCATCGCAAGCTTAGTGTTGTTTACTTTTTGTTGGTTGCTTAACCCGTTCTTGAGTTATAGGCCATCAAACTCACCGTTACATACCGAAGTTAAAAAAATGTAATGCAATATAACTCAAAAAGTTTTGATCTGAGAAGTCTGATATTTTGAGTCTGATATTTAGAGTCTGAAGTCTGATATTTTGACAATTTGAAAAAGATGTAATTCAATTTGAAAAAGTTGTACTTTAATTTGAATTAAGGTAACTTCAATTTGAAAAAGATGAAATTATTTTTGAAATAGTTAAAATACAAATAGAAAAAGATATAATTCATTTTGAAACGTATCGGGCTTGGAAGAGAACACACTACACATAGTGTGCTGTGCCTGCGGATGTGCCTCAGGGCTGAGGGCATGCAATCATGTGCAGACGTACTTCACTGGGTGCCTCGAGGAACGCGACCTCCCGATGGGCGTTTAAGATGTCCCTGCTTAGCTGCGGCTCTGCCGCACCACTGCACTGTTTTCAGCTTTGAAATGTGTGCCCGTGGCCGGGTCGCAGCGGGTCCGACTTCTGTCCGCTGGCAGAGTCGATTACCTGCCCATTCATTCCGATCTCTGTGTCATGGCATCAATACAGATACCAAACATTTGCTCGTTTCGTTACGTGGTACCTAATGCATAGGGGCATACAAGCAAGTACTAAGAAGTGTGGTAGCTGGTAAGGAGGGCATTTTTTATATCAAATTAAACAAATTACGAATTAGAAGACGTTAACCGGCTCTCCACCCACCCCTTTACGAGTAATAGTACATTAACCCGCGCCTGGCCGGGGGGGGGGGGGGGTGTTTGAACACCATCCCCTGACGTTTTTCGCAGATATCTCAAAAACGAATGTTTGGTATCTGTATTGATGCCATGACACAGAGATCGGAATGAATGGGCAGGTAATCGACTCTGCCAGCGGACAGAAGTCGGACCCGTTGCGACCCGACCACGGGCACACATTTCAAAGCTGAAAACAGTGCAGTGGTGCGGCAGAGCCGCAGCTAAGCAGGGACATTTTAAACGCCCGTCGGGTGGTCGCGTTCCTCGAGACACCCAGCGAAGTACGTCTGCACATGATTGCATGCCCTGAGGCACATCCGCAGGCACAGCACACTATGTGTAGTGTGTTCTCTTCCGAGCCCGATACGTTTCAAAATGAATTATATCTTTTTCTATTTGTATTTGAACTATTTCAAAAAGAATATTATCTTTTTCAAATTGAAGTTACCTTATTTCAAATTGAAGTACAACTTTTTCAAATTGAATTACATCTTTTTCAAATTGAGCTACAACTTTTTCAAACTGAAGGAAAAAAGGTGTAGAAAGAACACCTTTCTAATTTTTTGCATGTCGATTGGCAATGACATGAAGTTTATTTTGAAAAAATAAAATTGTGAGCAATTTTGGTCCCAAAAGTCATTAAAGGCAAATGAAAAAAGATTAAGTTTTTTGCTCAACAATGAAATTTTTTTCTTTGGAATTTTTTTAATAGTAATATTAATTTTTGATTCATCGCAAGCTTAGTGTTGTTTACTTTTTGTTGGTTGCTTAACCCGTTCTTAAGTTATAGGCCATCAAACTCACCGTTACATACCGAAGTTAAAAAAAATGTAATGCAATATAAATCAAAAAGTTTTGATCTGAGAAGTCTGATATTTTGCCAGGCGTCTTTGGGGCCTATGATTACCCCTGGGACCGATTTTCATTAAAATCTGAGAGATGAGGGTGACGGGCCTGGTACGATCTATCGTGGAATGCCCCAGCTGCTGTCGGTCTGTTCTCTGTGACCCGGTGCTGACAGTTACGTGTATTGCTCGCCGCCGACAGCTGCTGGCGAACGTGGCGCAGATCATCCTGGAGGAGAGCGAGGAGGGCGAGTCGGTGCACACCACGTGGCGCGAGATGCTCTACCTGCTCGACCTCATCTGCTGCGGCGCCATACTCTTCCCGGTGGTCTGGTCAGTGGCGGCGGCGGCTCCCCGGGGACGGATCGGCGGCTCGGCTCTATCGCCATTTAACCCTCGCCCGTATAGGGGGGGGGGGGGTTCGAACGGACCCCCCATGGTTTTTCGCGAATAACTCGCGTAAAAAGCGGCCGATTGCGACGAAACTTTCAGTACCCTCGCGTTAATCAATTTTACACCTACTCTGAAAATTTCATGAACCTGACCCCAATGACCTTTGACCTGTGACCTACTTTTCGAGACCATGTTTGGCCGGAATCGCGATTCGGCGTATGTCGGCTCGCATTAGCCGCGCGTTTGCAGTCTTTTCGTGGTTTCAAGCGTTCAAACATGTGATATGATGTTGCCCCCATGCATTAGGGTGGGTATCAAGGTCACCTGAAGGTCAGGTCAGGTCATTGACCTTTGGTGACCTCGGTTCACTTTTTCGAGTTTTACATGTTTCTAGGCCAGTTTTTGGAGCTGAATTCGAATTTAGCAACCATATAAACATTTACGAAGTAGTTTTGGTGCCTTCGTAACATGTTACGAAGCTGTCAGAGGCGGTTGACACCTACTAGGAATACCCGGCAGGACCCCTACTGGTTGACCTGACCTGACCTGACCCGACCTGGACTAAATGCATAAAGACATCATCTGTGATCAAAACTAACTTGATATTCGTGATCAGCGCCCCGAAAAAAAAAACCCATAGCAGACACACTTTACGATCAGGTCCCGATTTTCACGACTTTTGGGTCATTGACCTGACCTGCAAGGTCAATCAATGACCTAGGACCTTAAAATTAGGTATCATCGGCTTCCTCTCGTCACGGGCAACACGCTCGTTTTTTCCGCGAAGCTCTAGCTCGATCAGGGGCGAAACGGCAAGGGGGGGTCCAACGGACCCCCCCTTATACGTTCGCGGCTGGAAAAACACCAATACGGGCGAGGGTTAACTTTAAAGAAAGAGACCAAAATCTAGCTGTTTTCATGACTGGCAAAATTAAATTTTGTCGGTTGTCTATTTAGTGGGCGAATGGCAGGTGATTTATATTTTATCTACCGCTTTTTCATTTGGCATTTTCTACCTGATCTTCTCTCGTATCTACCGATATTTTCTCTTTTTCAAGTTAACAGGCACCACGCCCAGTGTTTTTATTGAATTGAGCAGTTGGTTTGCTGCTAATTACGTTGTGCAAGCTTTCCGGTCTTTCCCCGTATGCTGTGCTTTTCACGTTCACTGTGATCGTAGCACCAGGTCACACTCTGACCTGACCTGACCTGACCTGGGTACCGGCACCACGCCTCAGGTCGATCCGACACCTCCAGGACGCCTCCGAGACGGACGGCAAGGCCGCAATGAACCTCAAGAAGCTCAAGCTGTTCCGGCACTTTTACATCATGATCGTGTGCTACATCTACTTCACGCGCATAGTCGTCTACCTGCTGCAGGTACTGGGCCGACGCGACGAAGGGTGTGGGCGGACGATATAGCCGAATGGGCGGACGGTATGGACGATATGGACGGGACCTTACATTGGACCCGATGTAGACTTTTCACCGAGACAAAAGTAGATATGGTTGGTTGAATTTGACTTATTAAAGTTTTTAGAAATTTTAAAGCTATCAAAAACATTTATGTATTTCACACTTCCTGCATTAAAAAGTGTCCCGCTGTGTATGCTGATAGTGGTTCGATGTCCCAAATGAACCCTCACTCCCGCGGCAAATCATGGTGCCATTCTGTAACCCCCCCCCCCCCCGTTAGATAATGGTGCCGTTCTATTTATGATCCCGCTCGCTGCCAGATGATGGTGCCTTTCCAACAGATCACTTGCTCTCCTACTGGCAAATAATGGTGCCGTTCTGTTACCACATTACGCTCACCTGCTGCAGCTGATAATGGTGCCTTTCCATTAACTCTCCCGTTCCCGGCAGATAATGGTGCCGTTCCATTAAGTCCCCCGTTCCTCTGCGGCAGATAACGGTGCCGTTCCAGTACGCCTGGCAGATAATGGTGCCGTTCCATTAAGGCCCTTGTTCTGCGGCAGATAATGATGCCGTTCCATTAACTCCCCCCGTTCCTTTTCGGCCCCCGCAGGGGGCTGACCGTGGTCAGAGCCGTTGCTTGGCCGGGACCATTGGGCTCTGGCCTCGCGGCGGCTGTGACTTCGGCCAGTAAGGGGAGTAGCGCCCCCTCGGCCCCAGCTTGACTTGCGTTTGACCTCGGCTCTGATTTGATTGTCGGATGGATTTTCTGCAAGATTGGCCCCGCAGGGGGCTGGCGGTGGCCTGGGTTCCTTGGGCCCGCGTCCTGCGGCGGCCCTGACCTCCCCAGCAAGGGGAGTAGCGCCCCCTCGGCCCCAGCTTGACTCATGCTCGATTACAACCGGACTCGACCCTGGATTGATAGACGACAAGTCAGACCTTTCTTGGTTTCTTTTTTTCCCTTTGTGTCTGATGAGTGTCTTTTTTGCGCCCGGTTCCGCTCCTTCCGGGTGTTTCTCCTCACTGCCAGCTTATACTGCCTTGCCGTCTTCTCACGTGGTTTGCACTAAGTTTTTGCACTTGTCTGTTGCCCAGCTTTCTTGCGAGCATTTTCATTGGTTGCCTTTTCTGTATTCTCACGCACCTCACGGACACACTCGGGTGAAGTGGAATAGCGCCCCCCCCCCCCCCTCAGCCCTAGATACACATATGTGTAATCTTGACTTTGCCCACATTTGCTGGATTTGATGTTTGCACAATGCCACTGCCAGTCGGCCGCGTTGCCGTCTTCTCACGCGAATTTCTCCTGGCTGGTTTGCACTCATTTGGTTGCCTACCTCATCGGTTTCGCACGCTTCCCAGTTTTTTTTTTAACACTTGCTCATCTTCTCTGTGCACGATTCCATTGCATAATGCGATTCCAGTCTCTAATCGTGCCATCTTCTCACGTGAATTGCTCTTGGTCGTCTTGTACCCGTTTGTTGCCCATATTTCTTTTGCGGTCACTGGCATTGGCTGCGTTTTCAGTCTTCTTGCGCTGTATCGGTCTTGCAGGCTGCTTGCCTCACCGGTTCCGCACGCTTCCCCAGTTTTTTTTTTACACTTGCTTATTTTCCTTGTGCACGATTCCATTGCCAGTTTGCTGCATTGCACTCTTTTCACGTGAATTGCTCTTGGTTGTTTTGTACCTGTCTGTTGCCTTTTTTGCGGATACTCGCGTTGATTGCCATATGTGTGATCTTGACTTTGCCCACATTTGCTGGATTTGATGTTTGCCCAATGCCATTGCCAGTCGGCCTCGTTGCCGTCTTCTCACCTGGCTGGTTTGCACACATTTGGTTGCTTACCTCATCGGTTTCGCACGCTTCCCAGTTTTTTTTTTTAACACTTGCCCATCTTCTCTGTGCACGATTCCATTGCATAATGCGATTCCAGTCTCTAATCGTGCCATCTTCTCACGTGAATTGCTCTTGGTCGTCTTGTACCCGTTTGTTGCCCATATTTCTTTTGCGGTCACTGGCATTGGCTGCGTTTTCAGTCTTCTTGCGCTGTACCGGTCTTGCAGGCTGCTTGCCTCACCGGTTCCGCACGCTTCCCCAGTTTTTTTTTTTTGTTTACACTTGCTTATCTTCCTTGTGCACGATTCCATTGCCAGTTTGCTGCATTGCACTCTTTTCACGTGAATTGCTCTTGGTTGTTTTGTACCTGTCTGTTGCCTTTTTTGCGGATACTCGCGTTGATTGCGTTTTCAGTTTTCCTACGCTGTACCGGTCTTGCAGGCTGCTTGCCTCATCAGTTTCGCACGCTTCCCCCAGTTTTTTTTTTTTTGCACTCGCTCATCTTCTTTGTTCTCTGGTTCCCCTGGTTTTATCGGTCTAGCCGTACCTTCGGCCCAAAGACCGGGGAGAGGATGTCTGGGCGTTGAGGGGGCTGCCCTGCGGGTTAGTCGGGGCAGCCTTCCAACACATGCCTTTGGCGCCAATCCCCGGATCTGCGGGATGCCCCATGTTGGCCTCGCATGAGGGAAATCGGCCGGTCAGGCGTCGCCCTGTGCAGCACTGGCTAATCGGGGTCAAGGGGGCTGGGCGACGGGTATGCGGGGGGTTGCCGCCGGGTGCAGGGGCCGCCTGATTCCTTCAGCGCGGGGCTTAGCGCCACCGTATCCATGTCCGCGCGCGGGATCAGGTCCGGTCCCGTGCCGCATGGCTCTGCGGCGGCCGCGGCTCACGCGGCCCCGTACCCGGCGGCTTCGTCTTGCTGCTTTTGGCGTCCCGGCCCCCGTATAGTCCTGCAGTACTCCTGGCGGACCACCACCCTACGGGGGAGTGTGGCCGTCCCCCAGTTGGGCTCCGAGGTGGGTGGGAGGCTGCGGGACCGAAACAATTACACTTTCCATGGATTCTCACTTGGCACCCCCACGGACCACAGCCTCGGCTGAACCCCTTGCACCTAGTGCAGTCAGAGGAGCACGACCAAAAGTTCTTATATTCACATCCGACGAACGAAAACTCGCGTCGCTGTCTCCCTTTCAGAGACGAGAGGGCTGTGACAGATTTGGTAAGATTGCGAGGTGTGAAAAACTTAGAGACGGAGGCATCGAAGTAGAGTTTGTTGACGATAGAGAGGCGGAAAGGGCCCTGAAAGCTACTCACTTCACATACACAGTTAAGGATCAGCAGGGCAGGAAGGAAGTAAACCTTTCGGTCAGCGTTTCGCCGCATCGCACGAAAAATTCCAGCCGAGGGGTCATTTTTTGCGACGATCTGGAGGGCATGCAAAACGACGAGATCGCCGAAGGCCTGTCACGTTTTGGGGTCTCCGCCGCCCGCCGCATCTACACCAAGAGAAGTGGCGCTCTCGCACCCACGCACAGTATCATTTTGACTTTCAACTCGCTGGAACTGCCGAGGGAGGTGATGATAGGATATCTGTCCGTGAAAGTTCGACCATATGTCCCGAGTCCCATGCGTTGTTTTCAGTGTCTCCGATTCGGTCACACTCGAGACAGCTGTCGGAACAGACCAGCATGCGGGAGCTGTGCGGCAAATGACCATAGCAGTGCCGAATGTTCGTCGTCCGAGTTGAGATGCGTCAATTGTGACGACTCTCAGACTCCACATTCCTCGTTTGATGGGCGATGCCCGGCCCTCCAGAGAGAAAAAGAAATAATGTCCCTGAAGGTCACCGAAAGGCTGTCATTTCGTCAGGCCCGAGACCGCTTTGCTGCCCTCCATCCCAAGCGGTCTTATGCTAGTGTGGCCAACGGTTCTAGACAGCGCTGCCCCACTGAAACTGATACCAACAACAGCATCGGTCAGTTAATAGCGATTCTGAAGTCATTCGGCTTCTGCTTTGTCCCAGATGCCAACAGTCACAGCAACTCATCAGTTCAACAGGAGCCCCCTAAAGCGTTGTCGTGCTCCGCCACGCAGACGTCGCCAAGCAGGAGGCGAGGAGTCTCGTCCCCCTCCCGTGGGGGAGGAAGAGAGGATGAGACTGGGGCGGGGGTGGAGGCTTCAGCCGCCCCCGAGGATACGGCCACGCCGCGGGGTGGTGAGTGGACCCTCGCCCGGGGTCGTCGCCGGGGCCCGCCCCCACCGCCGCGCTCTGTCGAACGTACCTCGTTCACGTCTCCGGAGATCCGTCGACCCCCGCCCAGGGAGACTGCAGTCATGGCGGCTCTGCGCCGCGGTCGGGAGGAGCGGCTTGAGCAGGACGCCAGACTAGGGCGGAGGATGGCCCAGGCTCTTGAGGAGCGTCGAGCGTCCTCTGTCCGTGGAGGTCCTGGTGGGCCGGGGGCGGCCCCGTCACCTCTGATGGGACCTCCCCCTACCCCTCCACCCCCTCCTCCACCTCCGCCCCCTCCACCTCCTCCGCCCCCTCCACCTCCTCCGCCCCCTCCACCTTCTCCCCCACCCCCGCTCCCACCGCCACCACCGCCCCCTCCACCCCCTCCACTTCCTCCACTCCCTCCACCCCATTCACAGCGTCCTTCTGGTGCCCCTCCGGTGCCCGCCTCGGGCGAGGGGTCGGGACCCCAACCCCCGCCATGCACACCACCATCGGAGCCGAGACCGGCGGGGCCGCCGCCCGCCCCGGGCCGCCCCACGAAGCGCACACTTCCGTGGGAGCTATCTCCGTCAAACGATGGTAGCCCCCGCTCGCGGCTGAAGTTTCAACCGGGAGCTACGGGCCGGCCTAGGTCGGCCGATGGACGGCTCCGCGAGGGCCATCCAAAGGTAGCCTTTGGCGGTGGCCCGGGCCCCGGTGGCGAGGAGCATTTTTAAGTCCCCCCTTTTTTTTAACTCAAGTCAAAGTCGCCAGTTTTAGACACCTTTCGCTTACCCCAAGCGCTCAAAACTACAGCAATAACACGTTTTATCCTGCAGTGGAACTGCAGAGGCTTGCGTTCTAGCACTCCAGAACTGCAAGCACTAATCCGCTCTCAGCGACCTTTGGTTGCTTGCATCCAAGAAACCAAACTCAGATCTGAGTCCAGGTTCCCCATGAAAGGATTTTCGGTTTTTCGCAGGGACCTTGCTACTGAAACCGTCGCGCACGGAGGTGTTATGGTTCTGGTCCATAACGCCGTGCCTGCGAGATGTATTGATTTAAGCTCGCCCCTTCAGGCGGTAGCGGTCCGCATTCATCTAGGCCAGCGTGACATCACTGTGTGCTCACTTTACTGTCCCCCTGGCGCAGCTCTTCCTCTTCTGGAACTACGCCGGCTAATTGCCGAGCTCCCTCCACCTGTGATGCTTCTGGGTGATTTTAACTCTCACCACTCTGCATGGGGATGTGATTCTGTGTGTACACGCGGTCGACTTTTAGCGTCCTTGATAGACGAGGAGGGCCTTTGTGTTTTAAACACTGGTGCTGCTACCCATTTCACCATGCCGTCGGGACATTCATCAGTTCTAGATCTCAGCCTTGTCAGTCCACACCTTGTGCCGCTTTTTACGTGGCGAGTGGACGCGGACTCTTTTGGTAGTGACCATTTCCCCATATGGCTTGAACTGCGTGAGCGGCCCTCGGTTGGCTGCCGGCCACCGAGATGGAACCTGCGGAGGGCAGACTGGGAGAAATTTCAAACGTGCTTGGAGGATGCTCTCTCATCTGACCCTACAGATGATCTGTCAGTAACCGATTTCACCTCCTTACTCATTGAAGCAGCCAAGGCATCCATTCCTCGTACATCGGGGGCGCCTTCTCGCCGGCCGGTCCCATGGTGGTCCGATGCGTGTCGAGACGCCATCAGAGCGCGGAAACGAGCGCTGCGCGCTTTCAGGCATAACTGCACCACCGCAAACATGATCGCGTTTAGAAAAGCCAGAGCGTTCGCTAGGTGGACGGTCAAGAAAGCTAAACACGAATCCTGGGTGGAATACATCAGCCAGCTTAACAGATTCACGCCAATCTCCGAGGTTTGGTCCCGTATAAAACGTATATCAGGTCGTTTCTCCTCATCCCCTCTTCCTGTTCTGAGTGTGTTTGGCAGAAATGTGTCGAACCCAGCTGATGTAGCGTACGAAATAGGCCGTGCGTTACATGACCGCTGTGTCGGTGACTGTTCTGACCCCGACTTCGCCCGCCATCGTGCTCGGTGCGAATCGACTGGCGTCAATTTTAACACATCACAACATTTTAGCTACAATGATCCCTTTACTATGGAAGAGTTAAAGTCCGCTATAGGTGGCCTGAAGTGTGTCGCAGAAGGCCCTGATCTTGTACACAATGAGATGCTTCGGCGTCTCCCGTCACCGGGACTTGAAGCATTGCTCCATCTTTTCAATGCGCTCTGGGAAAGAGGGCTGTATCCCGAAACATGGCGGACGGCCATCATTATCCCGGTGCTGAAGGCTGGTAAAAGCGGGCTTGATCCGCTTCACTACCGCCCTATTGCGTTGACATCTGCCCTGGGCAAGCTGCTTGAGCGAGTTGTAAACGCGCGTCTCGTCTGGTTTCTGGAGGAACAAGGTGTTTTATCTAACTCGCAGTGCGGTTTCAGAAAGTATCGGAGCACAGTAGACCACATTTTAGCCCTTGATACCGAGGTTCGTTGCGCATTTAGGCGGAAGCGACACATTGGTGCATTGTTTTTCGACATTGAGGCTGCGTATGATACCACTTGGCGTTTCGGTATTTTACAAAAGCTTTTCAAGTACGGTATACGCGGTACAATGGGCCATTTCCTCGCCAGCTTTTTATCTAACCGGTCTTTCAGAGTCCGTGTCGGTGGCAACCTCTCAGAGCAGTTCCCCCAGGTCAACGGTGTCCCCCAAGGAGGAGTCCTAAGTGTTGTGCTGTTCGGGGTAATGATTAACGATATTGCCGATCACCTGCCCCCTTCCATTGGCCGTGCCCTTTTTGTGGATGACTTCTCTATCTGGGCCAGTGGTGCAACCACACGTATAGTAGAGAGACAGCTCCAGTTGGCAATTAAAAGATTAGAAAACTGGAGTGCTGTTAACGGATTACGATTCTCGACAGCCAAAACTGTAGGTGTCCACTTTTGCCGTTTTCGCCGTAATTGCCCTGACTTCTCTGTCAGGCTAAGGGGTGCAGTGATCCCTGTGAAGTCGGAGGTGAAGTTTCTTGGGATGGTAATAGACAGCCGTCTTACCTACCGCACTCACCTGAAAGAGCTCCGCGACCGATGTTTTCGAGCTATGAATGTTTTGAAATGTGTTGCGCGTACCTGCTATGGGGCAGATCGTAAGACACTGCTCTTGCTTTATCGTGCTCTTGTCCGTTCTAGACTTGACTACGGCTGTTTTATATACGATAACGCCACGGAGACCTCGAAACGTATTCTGGACTCTGTGCACCATACTGCTCTTCGTATTGCCACTGGTGCGTTCCGGACCACCCCAGTAGCCAGCCTCCTTGTAGAGGCCCACGAGCCACCTCTTGCCTTGCGTCGCCAGCTACTGGGCATGAGATATACCATAAAACTCCGCCAGTTGCCTTCCCACCCTGCCTATGATGCAGTTTTCTCACGTGCCAACCTGGCGCTTTTCAGAACCGGAGAAGGTGCACGTACTGTCCGCTACCCCCCTTTCTGCTCTCGTATGCAATCGCTGCTCTCGGAAGCTCAAATTAAACTTCGGGGGGTCATGCGTAAGGAGTGGCCATCTGTCCCACCGTGGAGACAAGTTCCGCCAAAGGTGGACCTTTCCCTCACCGATGTGAGAAAAGGCGACATCCCTCCAGCTGTTTTAAAGGCTCGTGCGCTGGAACATATTTCAAGGTACTCTGACTACGTAGCCTGTTATACTGACGGCTCAAAGACTGATGACGGTGCCGGGTGTGCTTTCGTCTGCGGCGACGCTGTGCGGTGTTTTACCTTACCTAAACATGCATCCGTTTTTTCCTGCGAATTGGTCGCTATCCTCAAACTCCTGTGTTTTATCGAGATTAATCCCGCTCGGTCATATGTTATTCTTTCTGACTCATTGAGTGGTCTCCAGTCCTTGTCACAATTCTATCCTTCTGACCCCCTCGCACAGGAGATTCTTCTTCGTGTGACAGCCCTCGACCGAGAGGGTACGTCGGTGTCTTTTTGCTGGATCCCTAGCCACGTCGGTATTCACGGCAACGAACGGGCGGACCGAGCTGCGAACCATGCTGCGCAGTATCCGTGCTCCCGCCGATTCCCTCTACCCGCCAGGGACTTTGTACCGGCGGTGGGCTCTTTCCTCCTCGGAAAGTGGCAGGAGGCCTGGAGCCAATCCCACGGTAACAAACTTTTACGTATCAAGCCAGGTTTAGCTACCTGGTTGTCGGCCTCACGCAGATCGCGACGCGAGGAGGTGGTCCTCTGCCGGCTTCGTACCGGGCACACTTATGGCACCCATGGGTTCCTGATCGGCGTTGGCTCCAGGCCTATTTGTACCAGATGTGGTGACCGACTTTCGGTCCGACACGTCTTGGTCGAGTGCCCGAGACTGGACGCTGAGCGATTGCGGTTTTTTGGATTGCGTGGCCCCCAGCTCTCTTTGAGAACACTTCTCCGCGACGACTCCCCTTTTCTCGATTCCTTTCGCCTCTTTTCGTTCATCACGGCCTCCGGGCTTCAGGTGATTTTTAACCCCCGACTTTGAGGAAGATTGGTTAGATATGGGCGCCATATAGCCTCGTTGCTGGTGCGCCCTAAAACACCAAATCATCATCATCATCATCATCCTTTTCGGCAGATAATGGTGCCGTTCCAGTACGCCTGGCTGGTAATGGTGCCGTTCCATTAACTCCGCCGTTCCTCTGTGGCAGATAATGGTACCGTTGCAGTACGCCTGGCTGGTAATGGTGCTGTTCTATTACTACACTCCGTTCCTCTGCGGCAGATAATGGTACCGTTCCATTAGCTCTGCCGTTCCTCTGCGGCAGATAATGGTACCGTTCCAGTACGCCTGGCTGGTAATGGTGCCGTTCCATTAAGTTCCCCGTTCCTCTGCGGCAGATAATGGTGCCGTTCTATTAACTCCGCCGTTCCTCTGCGGCAGATAATGGTGCCGTTCCAGTACGCCTGGCTGGTAATGGTGCCGTTCCATTAATTCCCCTGTTCCTCTGCGGCAGATAATGGTGCCGTTCCATTAACTCCCTCGTTCCTCTGCGGCAGATAATGGTGCCGTTCCAGTACGCCTGGCTGGTAATGGTGCCGTTCCATTAATTCCCCCGTTCCTCTGCGGCAGATATGGTGCCGTTCCGTTAACTCCCCCGTTCCTCTGCGGCAGATAATGGTGCCGTTCCATTAACTCCCCCGTTCCTCTGCGGCAGATAATGGTGCCGTTCCAGTACGCCTGGCTGGACGACATGTTCAGAGAGATGGCCACCTACGTGTTCTTCGCCGTCACGGCCTACAAGTTCCGGCCGGCCGACAGCAACCCCTACTTCCAGGTACGGTCAATAATTACCCGCCAACCTCTACTTCCAGGTACGGTCAATAGTTACCCGCCAACCACTACTTGCAGTTACGGTCACCCGCTGCCCGTCAAACCCTACTTCCAGGTACTGCAGTCATTACCTAACTCGCTGACCCCCCCCCCCCCCCACCCACCCCCACCCCACACACACACACACACTTCTCGGAGCGGTCACCCCATCTCACCAACGGAAGGAAGCTTTTAGGCATCGAAACTTTTATGCAGTTTCATAGGCATCTGTATGACGTCTATGATATTGATTAGTTTTATGGTCGGCTCAGAGATCCATAGTATCGTTGCCGCCGTGTACAACTGCTCTTTTTTCGAATTAATGAAATGCGGCGTTAATTGTCCTCTTCAACAATCAGCAGTCATGTACGGCTGGAGGCTGAAAGGCTCCATGCAGCTGTGCTTCTTGTCGCCTTGGGTGAAAAGTTTATGTACAATGGTATGCATTTGCTCTCTCATGCATGCGATGACGAATATGTGCACCGCGCAGCATTGATTTGCATTTGTCCTACCGCGATCTCAAAATTGTATTACCGGCGGCGATCGTCATCACAATGTTTTGATAAATGAGCAGCTAAGCTCCAGTTGTGTGCAGTGGTGCGAGTGACTGCAACGTTTCGGAAAATTACGGTCCGATTTCGACTTATCTCTGACACACCATGAGCCCGGCCCGGTGTCGATTTGGTACGGAGCGCCGGTGGTGTGGTCTGATCGAGGTCCCACCGCCGCTGCTGCTGGGAGGTGGACTGCAGTAATTGTGCCGTAGTAGTGGCACCGCGGCAGTATGGTCCGTCTAACTGTAGTAGTAGGCTCGTCAGTGAAGTCCGTCTGCTGATCTATGTCTCCCGTGGGGTGCCGCTGTCTGACTGCTGTGCTGTATGTAGTAGTCTGTACGGCGATGTGGCTCGTCTGACATTGTATATGATGTGTACTGATTTGTTGTGCTGTATCATGTAGTCCCTCTGCTGATCTAGTTCTCCCGTTCCCTGGCAGGTGCCGCTGTCTGTTGTATGTAGTATGTACTGACTGCTGTGCTGTATGTAGCCGCTCTGCTGATCCATTCCTCCCGTTCCCTGGCAGGTGCCGCTGTCGGATGACGAACTGGAGCTCGATGACGTGTGAGTATCTGCCCGACGCCGGACGCCCGTCCGTAACCGGCGCACAGACATATCACTGTCTGCGGTTCGTGTTTGTGCGACTTCACCTTAAACATGTGTGGGGATTAATGATCATAGTAATTTGCCTGAAGAGGCCAACAACCTGCAATTTGCATCACTTCGGTGTCACTTCATTTTATATTTTGCATTTTTTACTTCGTTTTACTTCATTTTACTATTAACTTTTTGTTGAAGAATTGGGATATTTAGAATATGCCGCTGCTCCTTGCTATATGCGTATTCCGATCACTGTGTCGTTACTGTCGTCTGTCGTGTTGCAGTCTGACCGAGTCCGGTGTGACGGAGGAACCGTGTCGTTACCTTTGTGTTGCAGTCTGACCGAGTCCGGCGTGACGGAGGGACTGAGCCGGGTGCGGAACCGCGCCGACGCGTCCGACGCCGCCGCCGACTCGGAGGAGGCCACCACGCTGTCAAAACGGGAGAGCAGCCACGACTACGACTGAGCGCCTCCGGAGCCCCGTCCTCTGGAGACCGTGCGAGGGAGCCGGCCCGGACCTCCGGCTGGGGGAGGGAGGTCCCAGGCCTCCGACTGAGCGCCCGGACCTCCGGCTGGGGGAGGGAGGTCCCAGGCCTCCGACTGAGCCCCCGGACCTCCGGCTGGGGGAGGGAGACCGGGCCTCCGGAGAGCAGCCACGACTACGGCTGAGCGCGTCCGTATACCCGGCTGTGTAACTGATTGCCCGGACCTTCGGAGACTGTGACTGAATGCCCGGACCCCCGGAAACTGTGACTGAATGCCCGGACACCCGGAGACTGTGTTAGGGGGTGTCCAGACCTCCGGAGACTATGTCCGGACCCTCGGAGACTGTGTCTGGACCCTGGGGGACTGGTGGAGCGCCGGAGCCTCCGGAGATTGTGTATCCGGCCGTCCAGATACAGTGTGGCCGTACCCAGATCATTGGGGACTATAAACGAACCGGTGCGACCGCCTTGGAGGCCCCGAGTGGGCATCTCTAGCTATCGGGCTGTCTGCGTATGTCGAACGGGCAGAGTCGGCTGTCAGAGGCCGGTGCGGCTGTCTAGCTCTCTGGGTATCACGGGCAGACTAGGCTGTCACTCTGGAGTCACCCCGCTCTCTGGGTTTGGCGGGCAGACTGGGCTGTCTGTAGTCACCCCGCTCTCTGGGTATCCGGGCAGAGTGGGCTGTCTTGGCCACCCCGCTCTCTGGATATCCGGAGCAGAGTGGGCTGTCTTGGCCACCCCGCTCTCTCGATATCCGGAGCAGAGTGGGCTGTCTTGGCCACCCCGCTCTCTGGATATCCGGAGCAGAGTGGGCTGTCTTGGCCACCCCGCTCTCTGGATATCCGGAGCAGAGTGGCTGTCTTGGCCACCCCGCTCTCTGGATATCCGGAGCAGAGTGGGCTGTCTTGGCCACCCCGCTCTCTGGGTATCCGGAGCAGAGTGGGCTGTCTTGGCCACCCCGCTCTCTGGGTATCCGGAGCAGAGTGGGCTGTCTTGGCCACCCCGCTCTCTGGATATCCGGAGCAGAGTGGGCTGTCTTAGCCACCCCGCTCTCTGGATATCCGGAGCAGAGTGGGCTGTCAGAGGCCGGTGCGACTGTCTAGCCCTCTGGGTATCACTGGCAGATTCGGCTGTCTGTAGCCATTCCGCTCTCTGGGTATCCGGAGCAGAGTGGGCTGTCTTAGCCACCCCGCTCTCTGGGTATCCGGAGCAGAGTGGGCTGTCTTAGCCACCCCGCTCTCTGGGTATCCGGAGCAGAGTGGGCTGTCAGCGGCCGGTCCAGTCACCCCGCTCTCTGGGTTTGGCGGACAGTCACTCGCCGCTACCATTGTCCCGGCGGGGCAGTCCGTAGCCGCCCCCATTGCTTTATCTGTTTATGCCTGGCTCAGACGATAGTCACAGTGTGTTCGGTAGGTGAGGTCTACGGTACCCTTGTCCCGGCTGGGCCACCCCGCCGGGCTCAGACGACAGTCGAAGTGTGTTCGGGAGGTGAAGGGACGGGTGGGACGCGAATCAGTGGCGCGATCTCGGCGGTTTGGGTGTATCTATGTGTGTGTATCCTGACACGTGTGTGCTCAGGACGTGTTGGCGGGTCGGGGTGCGCCTGTCGCCGGCGGGAAGAAGGCAGGTACCAGCCATGTACAGACGGTTGTGTATGATTATATTCCTGGTGATCTGCGCCGCGTTCCACGTTATTTATGTACGCATTCAGCGGTATGTATAGTCAAATTTCCGAGTCGCTCTTCGAAGGGTAGGTGCCAGAGCTGTGGCGGCGGATAGGCGCCGGTCTGCGATGTATCGATATGTGTGGGCTCAGCGTGCGGGCTCGGGTGGTATAACTAATGCGCTGCGGCGCTGCGAGTCAAATATACACCGGCCAGCCTGCCCAGACAGTGTGTTTTCCCAGGTTGCAGGGCGCGTGAATCAAAACTGCCATTAAATGTCTAAATCGGGAATATTTGAATGGGATCTATATTTGAAAGGAATTGTTGTCTTCTCACGTCCAGTATTGCAAGCAAATGGAAGAATGTGGGACACAAACATACGCTCGCGCGCTCAAATACAACCACAAGACCTTATTCTCCGTGGTATGAACTCTCTGGACTGTTGGCGAACACCGGGGTAGGTACCGGGCCCGACACCTGGTCTCGCGTCTGTCCAGTGCCCGTCACGTTAACGGGCTGAATGAGTGAGTGGTCATCACCCAGCCAGAGTGTGTCACTGCCGCCTGACTGGGACCTGAACTCGAGTGGCTGTGGCTATAGGGTGACTCTGACCAGCCGCGATATTTCACTCCCAGCAGGTGTCGATGGCGTGCCTGCACCCTGACCGGCTGCGTTCCGCGGGGCCCGGCGTCCTATGTACAGTCTGTCTTAAAAGTACCGCGCAAAGTGGCGGTGGATCCGTCAAGCCTGACCGAGAAAGGGCCTGTTTTAATTTAAAAGTCACTGACCAATTGACCTAGGGAATGGACAAGGATGTCAATTGCTTCGGTGACCCAAATTTAGCAGGCCCTTGCTCAATCAGGCTCGATGGATCCACCGTCACTTTGCGCGGTACTTTTAAGACAGACTGTACTTCCGTCCCGGGTGGCCTGGTGAGGTCTGTGCAGACAGCGGCACTGTCTGTAGGTGAGCGACTGCGGGTACTGTGGCCGTTCTGTGTCCGGCTGTGGGTCCTGTATCCCGTCTGTGTCTGGCTGTGGGTCCTGTGGGTCCCGCGTGTTGGTGTCCGGCCGTGGGTCCTGTATCCCGTCTGAAGGTGTCCGGCCGTGGGTCCTGTATCCCGTCTGTTGGTGTCCGGCTGTGGGTTCTGTGGGTCCTGCATCCCGTCTGTTGGTGTCCGGCTGTGGGTCCTGTATCCCTTCTGTAGGTGTCCAGTTTTGGGTCCTGTGGGTCCTGTATCCCGTCTGTTGGTGTCCGGCTGTGGGTCCTGGGCCGACTCCATCCGTGCCGTCGGCGGGAGGGCGCCGGGCGGCCTCCGTCTGCCTACATTCAGCAAACTTGTTAGCGCCGTGGTTCACGGCAGGGAGATAATCGCTAAACAAGCCAGCCGTAGCTTTTTAGAAGTGACACTATAACCACGTCGGGACGCGGGACCGGACACCAGCAGCGTTTGTCCATCGCGTTAGACGCGGCGCCGCGCCAGCCCCGCCGGGCGAGGGCCACTTTACGTGAATACCTGCACGCATCGATAGGCCTCCGGAGGTCGCGGGACTGCGCCGAGATGAAGGTCGGCATCCAAACGCAATTACCAGCCAAATCAAACGCTGAAAAACGTGGTCAGAATCGCGTCAAGTTTCCGCCCAAGTCTGTGGCGAGCGCACCCTAAAAGTGGACAGGAGCGGATGCCAAAAGACTCCGCCGATCCTGTCAAAACTTTGGAGAACACCCGTCTCCGTCATATCTAAAGTAATACAAAACGGGAGACGTGAGACACTAGGTAATGTTTCGGGAACATAAACAGGTACACTATCTCACATATGTGAAGCTGTCAGATCCGAGTGATTCAAGAGCAGGTCACTTGTCAGAACAAGTGACTTCATCTCAAGAAAAAGTAAACGTTCACCATAGCTTCACCGACAGAATAATTGTTTTAAAACTTTCAGCGATTGCGACTGCTCCCCTACCTGTACAGATCGCTCCCCCGCCTAAGCAGACTGCTCCCTACCTGCACAGACTGCTCCCCGACATGTGCAAACTTATCAATAACTTTTCCAGCTCACTGGTACTGACCGTTCCAGTCCAGCCCACCAGAACAGACCGTTCCAGCCCACCTGTACTGACCGCTCCAGCTCAACTGCTCAGACCGCTCCACCTCCACAGTTCAGACCGCTCCAGCCCACCTGTACTGACCCTTCCAGCTCACCTACAGACCGCTCCAGCTCAACTGCACAGACCGTTCCAGCTCACCTGCTCAGACCGCTCCAGCTCAGCTGTGAAGTGCCCCTCTCACGCTGAAGCTGCAGTTAGGTGCGCGGGTTGCCCACGTCGTCCAGCCGCGGCCTGGGGGCCGGCTCCGGCTCCGCTGACTCCGGGAGTCGCCGATTTCGCTACGCACGGCACGGCACGGCGCGGCGCGTGTTGCGAAACGGCGCGCCGTGTGTCGAACGGCAGAGGCGCGCCCGTTCCGCCAGCGCGCCGGGCCGCGGTCGGGGCCGGCGGGAAAGTCGCGCCGCGCCGGGCGGGGCGGGGGGGGGGGGCGGACCGGTATACCGGTGACGCGGGCGGCGGGCGGCAGTCGCCGGCCCGCGGCGCGGCGGTCAGGTGCGGTGTGCTGTCCCGGTGACAGCGCACAGGTGCTCCACGGAACTGAGGCCAGAGCGAGACGGACGGAGACAACATGGCGGCCAGCGGCGCACAGAACGGGAACGGCAGAGGTGAGCGGCGCTGCCATGGCCACCGGGAGCCAACCCTGTCACCGAGCCTCACTCCTACCTGTCATCGAGCCTCACTCCTGTCACTGAGCCTCACACCCAGTCCCACCTGTCACCGAGCTTCACTCCCACCTGTCACAGAGCCTCACTCCCATCTGTCACCGAGCTCGCCAGCCAATGAACTCCAACTGTTACCGATCCCTCCGGCCGGCACCGAGCCCCCACCACCCGAAAAGTCGCCGACCCCTTCACTCTGTCCATCATCCGTCCCCAGAACAAACCCATCCGCATCCCCCTGATGCTTTCTCTTCGGGCTGGCGGTTCCCCAGGTCTGACAACCGGTGGATGAGGTCGGGATCTGTAAAATGTAAATCCTCGCCGTGGTGACCGTTTGGGAGGCGGGCGGACTGTCAAAACGGGGCAATCCGGTCCCATCGGGACGGTCTCGCCTCCGCGGCTCACTGTCGGTGTCCCGCACAGCCCAATGTCTACGCCCTGTCCTAACATCCCATAGCTCTACAATGGTCTAAAAATATAGGCTTAAAAAATGTAGGCCTAAATGATAGGCCGAAAGGGCTTGCTCTCAACAAAACAAAAAGAAATTCACCCTGTCTGTGACACGATTCACAGCGCCCATCATATAGCGAAACCCTAAATCAGGGAGTCCGTCCCAGCCGACCACCGCGACCCGTGACAAACCGGGAACAGCCCCTGTGGTGGGGACTGGCGGTACTGGTACGGCATTTTCCGTGTCCGGATAAGGTGGGAAACACGGCACGGCGACCCCGCTGCTGACCTGGGCAGGACGTCGGCGGCTGACAGAAAATGTCCGGCGAATGGTGATAAACGGCCAGTGCTGTGGGTCGAGCATTTTTAATGTTAGGTATGCAGAAAAATCGATTCCGTTAAAACGTCTTTCCGGTGGTTTTTGCCTGGTTGGTTGCCCAGCCGTCGCAGCTTTTTGACCTCAGGTCAGTCAGTTGATTTAAGGTCGAATCTGGTGGGATGAATAATGGCAGATTCGTCCAGGGGTTTTAACTCCGTTTGACAAAAATGAAAGACTTGCCAGCACCGTGCCAGTAAGTTTCGACAACCTTTCGGAATCCGGTTGTCACCTCCCCGGCCTCGATTTCTTCCTCGCGGGCGTCTGATACCTATTCCATCTGGTCGCATCGGTCTGATCCAAGGCCGACACAACATTTTGGTGCATCACCGCAATGCACTGTACCTGCGGTTCAGAAAACCTGCGAACAAATAAAATAAACCGTCTCAGTACAATAGACGTACTTTGGCTTTTTAAACTTGTGTTGAATTATAAACATAACTATGAAATGGTTGGAAACTTAGTGATACGATAAGAGGTTGTATACCTAACAGACCGGGGTCATCTCGTTACGACTGATCGAACGTTGGCCGACCCATATTCCCATCCCCCGCCTTCCCAAAAAAAGACGATACCTTACTATTTATACCGCGACGATACCGCGACTATAGGACCAAGGTCAGGGAAACATCATCTACATCAGCTACCTCGAAGGCTTAGGCGTACCGTATACCTATACCGCTATCTTGGAGAAAAGGAGACGTGAACCACCAGTAGGTATCTGTTCTGGCTCGCATACCTTTCACTGAACATAAGGCGATCTGATTTAGACAAAGATGTTTATGCTCGCCAACGAAGGAATATGCCTAACATGTGTCCTTTCTTTCAGGAGTCAAGTCCATTCTGCCATCTACTGAAGTGCTTTCGCAGAAATTGGCGTACCAGGTGAGGCTCAGCACGGCTGCGGCTGGGTGTGAATTCATGGCTGTGAATTAAAGCCCGCTAATAAAGCCCTATTGGACACTCCTCTCGACTGTGTCATTAGTTAGCTATTCGTCACGTGCCACTGTGCACACAAGTCGCCTGTTTGAGGAGTTCGCGAGACCACCCGGAGCTGAGCGGGCCGGCCGAGCCCAGAGGGTTCTCGGGAGTCGCGCACTCGGCCGCCTCTGTCAACAATGACTCCGCTGACCCGACGACCGGACTGACTGCGGCCGGCCTGTCTCACCGCGCCGGCCCCACTGCCGCGCTGGCGGTGGCTAACACTGGAAATAAATGAGTAAACAGTAAACATGCGTAATTTTATTGGTTTGTGCCTATTATTTGCCTACCAAATGATGTGACAAGACTGTGCGGTGACTTTGGGGATCGTTCTGAGCGCAGCCGTCCCGTCCCCAGGTTCCGGAGGATTCATGCGGATGGCTATGCTTCCGACCCAGTTTTCTGATGAGTTTCCGCTCCCCAAAGATCTACCTGTTTTTCGTGTGCTGTGGCGTCACAATGCAAGGTGAGTTACAGGGATGTCTTGCGAACATCGCAGCGCACAGCGGTGTACCTATAGGTCACGCAACGGGAATGGGTTCATTGAGAGGCGTCGTGGGAACGATTCGGCATCTGCACCAGCTTACTGCTTGCCCGCCCTGAAATCACTTGCAGAATCTGCCCTCTGCTATGGCCAGAGAAAGCGTTA